TGATTTTTTGCACAAAGTTTTAAAAATATTAGTACTCCCTCCGTGTCTGATACTATGTCCACGCTGCCGTTTCTGTCCGTCCCACATACCATGTCACTTTCATTTTTTAAAAAATGATTACACACTTTAATCTCATTTTAAATTTTTAAATTTTATTTTTTTAATTTTAATTAAACTAATTAGTTATCTTAATCTTAATTTATAATTATTTATATTATAAGATAATCATTTTCACTAATACATTCTTAATTATTTACTAATTACACCCCTCCTAAAATACCGTGTCTACGGTGTAACAGACACGGTATTTGGGACGGAGAGAGTATTATATTGGGATAAAGTATAAATAAAAGTAAAAAAACTAAATTAACTCTATTATTATTGTATGATATAATAGTAATGACATTTTGTGTAATATATTATAAAATTGGAAGGGTATTTGTAATGTTAAGTAGATAGTACAATTAATAGAAAAAAAAAATGAATACTTTGTCCTGTCATATGACAGAGCAAAATGAAAAAATAAATAAATTGTCAAAGGGTATAGAAATTATAAATTAATTGAAAAATGAACGGAGGCGCAAATCATTAGTATTGATTTAATATTGAATTGACATTATTTTACAAAATAAAACAAGAGACATACATGCAAGAATAAGAAAATAAAAGTAAGAAGATAGATTTGTGGATGAAAAATCCTTAGTAGAAAATGAAAAATAACTTGAATGGGAAGGACTAAGGATTTGTTTCTTTTGCAAAAGTTTTCAAACAATATTTTTAAATATATTTTTTCAAAAAAATTAATACACAATTTTTATATTTTTTTCAAAAAAATTAATACACAATTTTTATATTTTTTTCAAAAAAATTAAATATATTAGGTATGTTTATTATTTTTATATTACATACACAATTTTTTATGACTCAAGTTATAATTGTTTCTTGACACTAAAATACAAAACAAACACATTCATATTTTTTTCAATTAAAAAGTTTTGTACACATTTTTTATTTACTGAACTATTATAAAACTAAATAATGTAAATAGTAAAATAAATAAACCAATCACGTTTTAAATAATACCTCATAAATGACCGCCCTAAATTGTATAATTAACTCTAATTTTTAGAGTGTGTTTGGTTTGGGTATCAAATTTAACTATTTACTGCTCCCTCCGTCTCATAACTAGATATTCATTTGTTTTTTGCACGTAATTTTATAAATGTTAGTATTATATTGGGATGTAGTAGGAATAAAATAGAAGTGACTAAAATAACCTCGTTAGTACGGTGTGATATAAAGGTACTGACATTTGTGTAATATATTGTAAGTTATAAGAGTATTTGTAATGTTAGGTAGATAGTAAAAAAAAAAATGAATACTTTATTATGGGACGGAGGGAGTATTATTTAGTCTAATTCTCAATAAGAAAAAAACTATTTTTTTTCTCGTAAAGTATGGTATCAAATCAAAATTTAAATAAAAATTCAAATTCAAACTAAAATCAATTAATGGCAACACATTTTTACTCATTTGGTACTATTCATTTTTCAAATAATATCATATCAAATACATTTTTCTTCTAAAAAAATATCAAATCAAATACTAACTTTTTACTTTTTCCAAACTTCCAAATTTCTAAAAACCCTTATCTAAACAAAAAGCTAAAAATACAATTTTTTTTTTTTTTTTTACAACATATTCATTTATTTATAACCTTTTTTCTACTTATTTGTTGTATGTCATTTAAAAATACATTCTAGAAAGTGAGTAAAATAAACACAAATATATCTAAACCATACAATAATAATAATAAAAAAAGGAACATGAATTTTAAATAGAGAATAAACAAGCATTTAATATAATATTTTTAGATATGCAATAATATTAGATATAACATATTTCTTAAAAATTATTATTGATTAATAATACAAATTTTTAAAGAATATGTAACTAAACAAAGAGTTTTATTTGTTTAGTGTTTTATTTATATATATATATATATATATTTTAATGTGAAAAATACGGAGAATTGTATCAATAATATAAATAATATTCCATCCGTTCACACACAAAGTAAATATTTACTTTTGGCGTGATGCTTAAAAAATATAGTTTTTTATTTATAGTGGGTAGTTAAAAGTAGTAAAATGACATTTTTGTCCTTGTTTTTTTGGTGTAAAAGTAATGATGTGATGTAAAGTAAGGGTATTTGTAGAAAAAAGTGGAGTATTTAATGAAATATTTATTTTGTAATTAAACGTCCTAAAATAGAAATATATATACTTTATAGCCGGATGGAGGGAGTATTATTTATGATAAATAATGATTTTTATAAAATAAAATACTCCCTCCGTCCTGGTGCAAGGTTGCCGTTTATTTTTTGCATGTAAATTTTTGAATATAGTATTATAATGAGTTATAGTGACAAAGACAAAAATGTCCCTATCAGTATTGTGTAATATAAAAGTAATATCATTTGTGTAATATAGTGTAAGTTGAAATGGTATTTATTATATTAGATAGATAGTACAATTACTGAATAAAAAATGACATCATTCGGAAGGAAAGGAGTATGGACGTTAAAAATCTCATTAAAAAAAAGAAACAAACCCAAACTCTTGATAATTGAATACAACAATGATAATTTATTTTATTAACAATAAATTTGGTGTCAAGACACCGACACTTTTTATTATTTTTATTTATTAATTAATCAACAGTTGGTCCTCCTCAACTATGGGATATCCTGATTTGTTTTTGTCCCCATTCATTATTATTATTATTATTATTTTATTTTATTTTTTTTGGTGACTTTATTATTTGAAATTTTGATTCCACCAACCAATAAACTGCATGCAAATTATTTATTTTTTTAAAAAGGACTACTGAGCCAGTAATTAAGCGAAAGATTTTCTTTTGCTTAAAGCAACGTGCAAAGCCATATATATATACATTTAATTATTTTATTTTTAGCAACGGACACAAAAAGCCATTGACAGACAACCTAATATAATTGTTTTATTTATTTTTTCTTAATATATTTTTAACATTGTAAATTTTCTTAAAAGATATACAGTTAATATATTTTTACTTAATATATTATATTTACATAAAATATAACCTCATACAACCTTTTAATATGTGATTTTTTTTTTAATTTTTTTATAAAGATACTAATTCTGATGTAATACTTAAAATATAACTTATTTATTACATCATTTATAATGCAAAATAGATATATATTTTTTAATATAAGAAAGATAGATTCTATACAAAAAATAAGATAGTAAATACGTACAACAAACTTGTTCGTCATTATTATTATTATTATTATTATTATTATTATTATTATTATTGTGAATAAAATATTTATATTTTAAATAAAGATCGAGGCCAGCTGGCAGCGTTTAATGTCCACCAGCAGAAATGAGGTAATATGTTATATCTAAAAAAACTGGACCAATTTTTAGTCCCTAATTATTTATGACCATAATAAAAAATCATTTCACAAAATTAAGCAGAAGGAAATAAAAGATAAATAACAACTAGCCCATATAAAATTAATTCAGTTATTCGTTATATTATTATTATTATTATTATATTTAAGAGATGGTATGAGAATAAACTTATCACCCTAAAATTATAGGTTCAACTTCGTGTAAAGATGTTGATGGCATATAGTTAGAATATTAAAAAATATATAAAGTTAATTTATTATAAATAAAAAAAAACAAAAAAGAAAACATATATTTGGTGACTAGAGAGAATACTAGTAGTATTATTTAGTGGAAGACTAGGCGAGGCCAGCATATTGCAAGCGTCTGTAGTTTGCATTACCATACGAGCTGAAATATTGGGCTTTATATGGCCGGTCCGGGCCGGGCCGGGCTGTGACAGTGTTTAATATAGGTCAGATATACATGGGCCCTATTATACTTGGACTGGGCTGGCCTATTTTGGGATGGGCCGGGCCGATTAGGGGCCAGCTAAATTTGAACTGGACTTGGGTAAAGCAGAGAACAGAACTAGGCTCAGTTGGGCAGAAAAGGGCAGGGAATTTGGACCGGGCTAATGTAGATCAGACCCGGTTAAAGGTGGATTAGGCTATACATCTTGGAACGGGATGGGCTCAAACGGATGTGCCAGGCTACCACACAGTTGGGCTGGTTGGGCCGGTCTAAAGTGGGTCGACCGGGCCATTATTGAACTGCGCTAGTGGATTTGGACCGTACGGACCAAATTGAGCCGGGCCGGTAATGAACTAGGCTGGGCTCATGTGGGGCTAAATGTAGGTAGATTGGTTGTGGGTGTTTTATTTATTTATTTTTTGATAGGAATTAGTGGTGCCTGTATGAACCAGTCTGAAGTTGGTTAAACATTAATTCACACGTATATATTTTTATATTTTTTATATTATTATAAAAAAATTATTTCAATTGAAATTTGTAATATAATATAAAAATAAATAATAAATATTTAATTTAAAATAAAAGTTGAATTGTAAAAATCAGATTAAATCATCCAACCAACACACAATATAAATTTAAATTATTTTATATTTAAAAATAATTTAAAATTTTAAAAATTACCCTCCCAATTGGAAAGGGTCTCAGCGACCAAAATGGTCAAGATTAAGATTGAAATTATTTTATTTAGCAAATGAAAATTTATTAATGCTCCCAAATTACTACTTCTAAAATATAAAAAATAATAAAATTGAATTACAATGTTTAAGTACAAAAAATTAAATTTGATAAATTTTCTTGACTTATTTATTTCTTGCCGTCAATGTCGATTCCTCCGTTAAATACAAGAGGGATCCACCCAACCGCCACCAAACAAATCCACACCGTCCACGAAGCACACTCCACATGATCAACGGTGATAACCCATCCTGCGCTCAGGTCCCGGGACCTCCCACAAACTGCACCAATCAATCAAGATCATCATCGGCCATGGAGTTGTGGGATTTACAAAAGTCCACGAACAAGCAAACGCCCAAACCTCCAGAAAGCAACAAATCTTTCCCCCAGAACCAAAAAAGTCACAATCGTTGGGCAATAAATTTCAACATTTCAGCAATTGGATAAATCTTCGATCAGCATTCCCAAGGAAGTGTTGAACCACACTCCCCCAAGTTCTTCGTTATAAAAAATTCCCCAAATTCGATTCTCCCCAGTCCATCCATCGATCGCGACCATGTCCGGGGAGGAATTGTTCGTCGGCTCCGTCGATCAAGGCACCACCAGCACGCGATTCATCATCTACGATGGATCGGGGAAAGTCGTCGGATCGCATCAGACTGAGTTCACTCAATTCTATCCCCAATCAGGGTAAAGAAGAAGAAAAATTGAATAGAATCGAATCGATTTCTAGGTTTTGCAATTTTATCCAGATTGTTTATTATTTATTACTAACCTGAATCGATCGATCCATGGAAGATGGGTGGAGCACGATCCGGTGGAGATTCTGGAGAGCGTGAGGCTGTGCATTGCGAAGGCTGTGGACAAGGCGACTGCTGCAGGCCATAATGTCGATAGCGGGCTGAAGGCCATTGGATTGACCAATCAGAGAGAGACATCTGTCGTTTGGAGCAAATCCACTGGCCGTCCTCTTTACAACGCCATTGTTTGGATGGACGTCCGTACAAGCTCCATTTGCAGGTCTCCATTTCTGCTTAAAACGCCATTGTTATTTTGGAATTTCATTTTGCTCTATAATTCAAGTTTATTGGAATTTCTTCATTTGGACTCTGTCCTACAAGAAAGCACATATTACTACACTAAGAGCACGTGCTATTTACACTAGATTAGATGAAACTAATTGAGTTTGTTCCATGAACATCGTAAAATGCATCGTTAATTACGTATTATATGATTTTCCAGCAAAGATTTAAATCAAATTTGTGGGCATAGAGCAGAGAAAGGAGAGTGTTCTTGAACTTGTGGATTGTGAGGTTTTTCATATGAGGTTAAGAAAAAGTTTTGATGCTAATCTTGGGCGTTAGCGAAACAGAGATTGTTTAACATAAATTCATGTTATAACATTCTTATTGTTCGATCTAGTCAATATTTTTCTTTAAATTTCTTTTTTCACTCGATGATCGTCGTTGTTTCTTGTTGTGTGGATTCCTTCTTGTAATCAATTCATATTAACAATGTAGTTCGAGGGAACTTTCGATTGAACGGTTAAGTGGGCTCTGTTTTGTGATTAGGATTCTTGTGTAATTCGAAATAAGGGATCTCAAGATCTATCGAACTTTTTTGTGACCCGTGATTGTTACTTTGTACAGAAAACTCGAGAAAGAGTTGCCGGGGGGAAGAACACATTTTGTGGAGAGCTGCGGGTTGCCGATCAGCACCTACTTCAGTGCACTGAAGCTCCTATGGCTTCTTGACAACGTCGACGACGTGAAGAAAGCAGTCGAGAATGGCGACGCGTTGTTTGGAACCATCGACACGTGGTTGATCTGGAACATGACGGGAGGGGCGAAGAACGGTTTACACATTACAGACGTGTCTAACGCCTCACGAACGATGTTGATGAACCTTAAGACCCTAGATTGGGACGAGAAAACTCTCAACATACTCGGGATCCCCGCGGGAATTCTTCCAAAGATCGTGAGCAATGCCGAGGTTATCGGGACCATCGGAAAAGGCTGGCCGATTCCCGGAGTCCCGATATCCGGCTGCCTCGGCGACCAGCACGCGGCAATGGTGGGACAGGTGTGCCGGAAAGGCGAAGCCAAGAGCACGTACGGGACGGGTGCGTTTATACTTTTGAACACGGGGGAGGAGATCGTTAAGTCGACTCACGGATTGTTGAGCACGATGGCGTACAAGCTTGGGCCGAAGGCAGCGACGAATTACGCGCTCGAAGGCTCGATTGCGATCGCCGGGGCGGCGGTTCAGTGGCTGAGGGACAGTCTCGGGATAATCAAGACGGCGAGCGAGATCGAGGTGTTGGCGAAGCAGGTCGAAAACTCTGGAGGGGTTTACTTCGTTCCCGCGTTCAACGGGCTGTTCGCGCCGTGGTGGCGCGACGATGCGAGAGGCGCGTGCGTTGGGATCACGAGGTTTACGAACAAGTCACACATCTGTCGGGCCGTGCTCGAGAGCATGTGCTTTCAGGTGAGGGACGTGCTTGACTCCATGCACAAAGATATCAGCGACAAGGGCGAGACGAAGAACGAGAACGGCGAGTTTCTTCTACGAGTCGACGGCGGCGCCACCGTGAACAACCTACTTATGCAAATTCAGGTAGTGTCTAATAGATCAAATTTATTCTTAACTTTTTTTTTTTTTTTTTTTTTTTTTTTTTTTTTTTCGGTCAGTTCGTCTAATGCCCACTATTATTATTACACATTATTCGTATTCTCTCTTTTCATTTTCCTTAAAGTATCGTAAATACTTCAAATTGCTTTACATTTTTATTATTTCATTTTCCTTAAAGTATCGTAAATACTTCAAATTGCTTTACATTTTTATTATTTTTTTAATAAAATATTCATGTGTCGTTCCTAACATTTTTATGCTTTTGACGACGCCACCGTAATCTCGTCGTTTTGGGGCATTGGGCAGGCGGATATTTTGGGGAGCCCGGTTTTGAGGCCGAGTGATATAGAGACGACGGCGTTGGGGGCAGCGTATGCGGCGGGAATCGGGGCTGGAATTTGGACGGAAGAGAAGGTGTTTTGTGCAGGTTTAGGAGGTGGGGAGAAGGTGGAGAAGGCTATAATATTCAGACCCGCCATTGAAGAAGAGGTGAGGAAGAAGAAGGTGGAGTCATGGTGCAAGGCAGTTTCGAGAACCTTTGATTTGGCTGATCTCTCTCTGTAATCATAAAATATTTTACTTCATTATGTGTTTTCTTGCTTTTCTTGTTGGGTTCTGAAATTACTTCTTGCTCTCAACTTTGTCGTGGACTGTTCATGGCTTTGATTATAAATAAATACTGTGAAAATTACGTTGAAAAAAAATAAAAATAAATCCGTAATATGATTGCTACTATATGGTGTGGTTTTATAAGTTTGTTTTATTTAATTGTGCTTTCAATGTATTTTTTCAACACTAGTGTAAAATATAAACCAACAATAATAGTGACTGATATGTTAACCAAACACACGAGTTAAAAAAAAACACAGAAATTTATAAATTGACCACACAAAGATGGTAATTAACATAAAAATCACATGTTAGATTCAATTTCAGACCATATTTATATTTATTCAAATCATGCTAATAAAGCACATTATTAAAATATGAACTGAAACGCACATGACATATATCATAAAAAGGAGAGGAGAATCATAGAACCTAAAGAAACAGATAACTGTAACAAATTCATGTAATCAAAGTTCTTCTGCTTTATTCATTCATTCATTCATATATCAAGCATTGATTTATGACGCCCTACAAAATAACAAAACTTGTAGGTCCGAAGGGAACACATAAACTAGAACACATCACAGCAGATAATGAACTCCAGAGAGCATTTGATCGAAAAAAAACAAAAATAAAGAAAGATATTTCTTACGAATGTTACCCGATGAGACGAGCGAGCGAGCGAGCAGAGCACACTTCAACGATCGATAAGAAATCCATTCCGAGTATCCTCACTTCAACGTACTGAAGCACAGATCGACTGCTGAGTATACAGCTCAGTGCTGGGGAAATGCTGCCGGTTTCGTCTCCTCTTGGTGACGAGAACGAACCCTTCCTGATCACAAGTTTTGTTGTTCATGTTCACGTCGACTCTTCTGGTGCTCGTGCTGTGATTCATCTCCGAGACAGCTGGCTCTTGCTTTTCATCATCTCCACCGGAAATCCTTATGATAGCACTGTCATTCGCGATTGCGTCGCCGGGATTAACATAAACCGCGTGCTTCCTGTCGTGTTCCGGAGAAGAATCCGAAGGGCTCTGAGTGGATTTCACTATGAAGCTGAGAAGTATCTGCCTAGCTAGCTCGGCTTTGTCGGTATCCAAACAGTTCTTCTTTGATCTTCCCCTTGAAGCCGCGGCTGCGCCTTTTTCATCGAGCTTCTCGCCTTGAGAGCTTGTGTATTCGACGCTATTGACATCAGAAGAAGAGGAATCGGAGTCAGCCAATGGTCGTCGATCTTCAGCAGCTGCTGCGGTCGATTGCCATGCTCTGCCGGGAACAAATTCCGGTGCATGAGGGTTCATTGTTTTCGGAAGCACAACAACTCCTTTTCTGTCGGAAACAGGAATGCGGTAATTCATAAATCCAGTTGGGAAACTCCGGTGGGCTCTCAAGTACACCGGAGATCTAGGACCGCGAGGAATCGGAGCCATGACTGCAGCGAACGAACAGTGTTCTGTCAGTGGACCTTGACTCGCCAAAACATCGTAGACGGAAGTAATGACTTGAGTGTTCGCTGGCTGAGTCAAAGGAGGGTAGGCGCCGGGACTGAATGGCTCGGCAGCAGCCGAGAGTTTGCTGCAATTTGTTTCTACGGGTTTCTCCTGGATAATGGAACATTGAATTTCTTCAGTGTCTGAATCCGAGCCTGTCTCAGAAATATCACCTTTGTGGTCTCCTTTTGTGACTTCTTCTTGAGCTGGTTCAGAAATCTCGACCTTACAATCTCCTGTCGGGGCTTCATGTTTTAGCGTCGAGTCATCTGTAGAAACTGGAACATTCTCAACTGGTTGCTCTGTCTTTTGAAGACCACTGATTATCTCGTCGTGATTTATTTCTTCAACTTTCTCTTGTCGAGGCTTTATGACCGTACCTGGCGCAGCCACTGCGACTTCTTTGTATGACAATGATTTGGAGGCCACTGTTAGATGTGAAACTTTTGGTACTAAAGTAGAACTCTTGGTTCCGGACATCTTTGCAGCTGCTCGACTCGAATCATTGATGGCATTTGAGGTTACAGTATCAGCTGAAACTCTCTTGAATGGGCCCTTGTGCACTGGCGAAACAGCCTCCTTTCGAGAGCCATTATCGAAGTGCATGGAGTTCAATTTTAACCTGGCAAGATCTTGTCGTTTCCTGTTGGACTTTCTAAAAACTCCATTTCCAGATCTTCCTCTTGGGGTAGCTTCTTGCCATCCCTCTTCTGAATTTGAATCATTCGTGAGAGCTTCATTAAGTAGATGATGATGCCCGGCCCGAGTGTCGGTATGTATTTCTTGGGGAGGTCTGGGATCTGCCATATCCCCTTCACTACTACTGTCTATCACTTTACTACCACTATTTTCCATATCTTCGACAATGCTGGTGGCGATTTCACTTTTTTCTATATCCTCGGAGCTGACGGGGTTTTCGCTCTTTCCTTCTTGCTGTTGTTGTCTAGGGAATTTATCGATACAAGCCTGAAAAAGTCGAAAGAAGGAAGGAGGTAAATTTGAAGCATAGCAGTAGAAAACAATCTGGGAAAGAATCTGGAATGTATCATCAATCATATGATATGGATGATCTTTCAGTACATAAATGGAATACTGTTTACTATTTCATTATAGTAGAACCTCCTTAATCACAAAAGTATTTTCCCAAGTTTGAGTCGAATAGACATTAATAAAATCGACTATTTTGTGCAAATAAGTATAAATTAATATTTTACTTATCCTAATCACATTTAATTTCAAAATGTAATGATTAGGAAGAAAGTATAAAACTTCATAAGATGTAGAGCTAATGTGCATGATTAATCAAGTCAACTAAAATATATTTATTCCGTCCGCCAATTTTATGTCAAAGTCTAGACTACGTACATTTTTCTTAGTTATGAATATGTATTAACTTATCAAACAAGTAATCTATTACGTAATTTGGTTTACTTTTGCTTATAGGCAACTCTTTCCAAATGTTGTGTGGTTCACTGTGGAACATAAGAAATCAAAACATATTTTATTTGCACATTTAAACAATAATACCTTGAGGCGCCTTTTCCTCTGAGCATCTGCAGCCTTCAACTCCTGATCAGGACTTATATAATTAAGGAGATCTGTCACACTGAACATAGAAGTTTAGGGCATTGTACTGCAGGGGTGTAACAGAAGATTCACAATTAAGTATTGAAATATCACAAGAATACCTCAAATGACCTTTGCTAGCAATGGATGCATCTGGCTTTGGGATTCCATTACGTGCTGCTTCCTGCTGTTCCAAGGCTTTCGACTCGAAGAATTCAAGCCAAGCAGCGGCATCCTGCAGGTACTTGGTATATTATATTTTCACCATTGCAGAATTTCAAAGCATATTACCATATTATATGCATAGAGCTGTTTTCAAGCCTTATACTTTCCAAATTTCCTATTAGTCTAGAAGCAGAAGCATCTGGCAGAAAGCTACATTCATGAATAGGTGTGATATATTCTAGTAAGAATAATCGCTATATAGATTCTATCGAAAAGCCTTGAGCAAATGTTGCAGCAAGGACCATTAAAGCAGAAGAACACCCTAAAAGAGGAAATCAAATTATATAATCTTGATATTTGAATAGAGAGCAGTTTTGAGAATATGAAGCACAAATACTAGCAGCGCAAAAAAGAATTTTATGAACCTGAGTGCGAAGATCGTCTGCTCCCAGTTTAGCCCGGAGAATTTGTAATGTAGTTTGTTCATGTTGCATGCTGAGGGTGTATGCATCCATCAACGAAAGAGCTATGGCTATGGCATGATAGCTAGCAGCAGTCTGTCAGATGCAGCAAATACCAAATTAACTTCTATAAACTTTCGACATTATATTTACATATGACATGAATGCTTAGCTGTACTGACTTATCAAGTGTCAGTCATAAAATGTGGAGAAACACATCTTGTGTTAATCAGATAGAAATGTAGTTTGTTAGAAAGATCAAAATAACAGTAATAGACCTGTATGTGGTCAGCTCCAAGTAATCTTTGATTGCACTTAAGGGCTTCATGAAGATATCTGAGAGCAACATTAACATTTCCCATGCCCTCTTCCATCATGGCAACATTTATGTACGTAGCTGCTGTGTTCGGATGTGAGAGACCACACGAGAAATGAAGAAGATATAATGCACGGTTCACATATCTGCGCAAAGTCATCAACAAACATTACCAAGCAAGTTGAGTTTAAAAACATGGACAGGAAAAGCACAAACAAAGAAAGGAGAAAATCATGACAAAGTGCAACCACTTCAGCACAACAATTATCTACCATCATATATTAAAGTATGTGCTAAATCAGTATTACATAAACTATATCAGATGTAAAATTTAAACAAAACAAACAAAACAAATCAAGGCCTAATACTATAAGTTATTATTGCCTTTCATTCTAGTTATGAGACGATAAGTTGAATTACATGAGGCAGAATCAGATGAAACACGAAGTTCAACTTACTTTAATGCCAATTCATAGTGCTGAAGACGGTAGTAAAAAACCGACAGATCCCCATAGCTCTTCATTGTATCAGGGTGGTCTAGCCCAAGCTCCCTCTCATTGATATCTAATGCTTTCTGCTGATATATAGTTGCCTGAACATTATAAAAGATGCGCTTCTATGAAAATGTGCATGATATGATCTTTCAGAAAAAAAAAAAAAATCATTCTTAAAAGCTGCAGTAGACCTAAGGGAAAAATCTATATGCATCAAAGAATACAAAACCTGATTAAAATCTCCAGTGTGATAAAGAACGACCGCCAGAAGACTGTAAGCACTTGCAGTTGTACGATGGTAAGGGCCACATACGGCTATCATTTTTGAGAGGGCCTTCAGATTAAAGTCAAATGTAATCCCATTATTGAGACATGAAACAATGCAAGAATATATAATATACAGATAGACCTGAGTCACCTTTGTTCCATTATTAACAGCATCATCTAGTTTCCCTTTGTCTAATGCAATCTTTGAAGACTCCAGTAGCGTTCGCCCATCAACAGAAGAGCACCCTACATGCTGTAAAGATAAAAGTAAATCAAAGGAAACAATGATTCTAGAAGTAAATTAAAATTTTCATGCATGTCCGCTCTACCTTGCAGATTGGCACTATGCTTATGATATCGGATTTTGTGAACGGAGTTGAGCAGTCCATGTCATAGTCTTTGGGGACCAATTCTAATCCAACCTAAAAATGTGGAACTCAATAAATTGTTGGAAGAATGAAAAATTGACAACATATTTTTTATGTAACATACCTTGTGACAAAGTCCTCTTAGAATTGATAACTTTCGCAAGTATTGGAATTCATCATTCATTCTCCAACCAAATTTTTTCTCCAAAAAAATTCGCAACCATTGTAACTTGAGAAGATGATCACATGAGCCATTGTTTTCAACATAGCCAGAATCAAACAAAAAATTTAAGGTTGTAGCTATAGTTGCTGACAAGTCATCCACACATTCAACAGAAGCAATAACAGCTCGCAGCACATGCTTAAAGGCCCTTGTTACCATTTCATGAATGCATATGAACTGTATATGAGGAAGCTTATCTGCAAGTTTTACCTGGTTCAAACAATTACAAAGTATTTTAACTTTTAAAGTTAGAAATGAGAACATATAAATATACACCCCATGCATTTGGAAAGTGAGATATTCACTCACCACATGTCCTAAAGAGCACATTTGTAGTCCTCTAAGATGCATGAAGTCAGTTAATGTACCACCATCAACTGGAGACAGTTCAAGTGATGCAAAGTCTGCAACCTGAAAAGATAATTGGTTACAACGCACATAGGGTCTATGCCAATTCTGCATGGCCACACAACTTATTGAAAATTGAGCTATTTATTAAACCATACCAGCTTAGGTAATGCAAGGTTATCATAATAATCATTTGCCATCCTCACCAGGTCGTCCGCTGACTGCATGTTTAAGCAGTAAATTAAGTTTAATCACAATATGAGAGTAATTCAAGAACAACACAGACAAAGACAACTAGAAAAAGTCTCACAAAACTACAATAATCTTAAAAATATCAAATATGAAATATATGTTCTAGCCATGCTTTGCGAGTATTCCAATTGCAATTGCTCTGGACCTCCAATCACCCTCACATACAAAAAATGATTTTCAAGTCAAGTTCCTTTTGTTGGTTCCCTTAAATTTTAATTCCAGCTCATTGGTTTCTGCCCCTCTCTTTCTACCCTTCTCCATACCTCAATTTTTTTAGAGGATGGCTAATTGCAGCAAGGGAGAATTATGTACAGTATATGCATGACAGGAAAGAGTTTACCTTTGTATGAAGGCACACACCAGTTTCTTTCAAGCGTAGTAATGCTTCCTTAGGAACATATTTCAGCAACTCCCAATTTGGTTCGCTGTTTTGTGTTTCTCCTCTGCCATTTTCTGCGTTTAGGCTTCCGGTTTCGGCAGAGATGTCCACACCCTTCCCATTAATACTGGATATTTTCTTTTCTATCTTCTTTAGCATCTTAAAATGTTCCCCAAGTCCTTTTACAGGTTCAAACTTGTTGTCGCTGTCAAGATTTCCAGAATTGTCTATAGTCTTCGTCTCCTGCTTTTGTAGATGCTGGACCCAACAAGAACCAAGCTCCCATCTCATGCAACTCTTTGGTATTGGTGGACTATCCTCGAGCTTTTTCAGAGAAGCTTTTACTATTTCTTGGACCATACATGTTGAAGTTGAAGGTTCTGTCAAAACAAGCTGACGAGTTTGGCGATTGACTGAGGATTCTGTACATGTTTTTTGGAGTATCACTCTTAAACTGCAAGACAACCCCAAATCATTTCATTATTCCATTTAGTTAGGTTACCACCCTTGCAAGTCCTATATCACCACAAGACATGCATAAGTAAAAGTTTCTTCTCATAGAACAGGCATTGCAATAAATCAAATTATGGCACCAAAGTGCAGAAGAAATTTTAATTTGTTTGACGTAAAAGAGCACAACCAAGAAATTACATAAGCCATATGGTTTGTTCTTTTTATGTTTGGTTTTTGGTTTAAATAGTAGTTGAATGTAATATTTTATGAGAGAAAATACTTTTTTTACAATTAATTGTGAGGATTGCATAATAACGAAGTTGGGAAAAAAAGATCATAACCAAAGTATTCCCAGTGTTAGATCGAAACACTTAAAAGATGATGAGTCACAAGACACAATTAGGTAAATTTCATTGCTGACCAAAGGATTCTCAGACAGCAAGCAATGACAAAAGGTGAATTGTGTAAACACTACCCTCTACATTATTAGACGTATAATTCCTATCAAAGCAGAGGCCTTCAATTCTACTGTAGCTTAGACAAGTTAATCAAGATACAGCCTAAATGTAATCTTCAAATGATTAATCCATCACAAATTATGTTTCTCTAATAGAGATATCAGGGTCTTTGTTAAGCATTTACGGAAGGCAAAGAAAGTTTGGAACCTGTTAATATTAAGTGCATTGGCCCCTCCATCAGGCTGGTCCTCAATATCAATATCTTGTATACAGTTATTCACTTTGTCCCAATTGGCATCAACCTTCACTGTTGCAGTGTAGCCACAATGTCTTACAACAACAATACCTAAAGAAGAAGTATCCTGGAAAGAGAGCACACATTTTCACTTTTCAGATAAGAGTAAATAGTGAGCTGAGAAAAGAGCACCTAACAACAGAGACAGATATTCAATGATTTCAAGCTCTCAAAAGAAATGACAATCTGCTGTGGTGAGTCAAATTGGAAAACCTTAAGCAAATCTATGTCTGTATATCTTACAGAGAAGAATCGAATATCGTCACTATCTATTCTTTTTTCAGAATACAGCTGTCATTTGCAATTTGATCAAATTAATTTAGCATGCAGCCTAAAGGAAGTAGATCTTAACATGGAAGCTATAGATCATTTAATCATATCGTTTTCACCTGATTCAATGACAATATTTGAATTGTACACACACATTATTTGCAAAAATTAAGCAAAGTTAAATATTTAAAACAAACACCAGATGTACATCATTTTTTAAGGACTGTCGGTGTTTCAGCTTTGCAAACAACATTATTTTTCTGCACCTATCACAACGGAAAACAAAATACAAGCGTGTATGAAGTACTGTCCTAGTTCACAGAAATTTTAAATCTTACAATATTGTTATTAATCGGAGAAGATCAAAAGCAAAGCCAAGTCTGAGAAGAATTGCTTACATGTACAAGTACGCTTTCATCAGCAGTTATTCCTTTAAGTAGATTTCTCTGAGAAACTTCCATGGAAGATTCATTGCATGATTTGCTGCCAATAATCTTAAGCTCCCTTTTCAATCTTACACCTACTTCATCTCTTTTGACTGTAATTGAAAGGTCACCAACCTGACTCTCAAGCACAACTGAGCCTGGATGATGTGTAGCCTTAGCAACCGAATTCATCACTTTATCTATGGATGAAACAGCTTTAAAAGCAGCCACATCAACAAAAAGACTATGAACCAAAAATGCCTTTCTGTCTCGAATCACTCTTTCTTCCTCAGTTTTACATGGTAGGCTAGCCAATAAAGCAAAGTATGTTGCCCAAGGTCTATTATCAGACTCTCCCAATCTTCCCTGTCCTCCACCATTTCCTCCCCAATTTTCATCTTCTGTAGGCAGAGGCACAACACGTGAAGCAGAGCAAAGAATGGAAGGAGGGGCAAGCCATGTATTGGCACGCAGACCGTACGGAAGATTACCAAACTGAAAAGAGAACAACAGAATTACTTGGATACAGTTAATAACAGTCAGATATGATAAAGCAAAAATTACCTTGTTGTGATCAACAAAGGCTTTCATCAAGGATGCATATGCCTGCACATAATAATCAAGATTATTCTCAAGAAATAGGATTTTAGCAGCATAATGCAGCAGAAAATATAACCGGATGTAATGATCTTAAACATGTCAAAATCATAAAAAGACTAGTAAGGTATTGTAATGATGACACTGCAATATACCCCTACAATATCAGCACTGCATTTTGGAGTAGCAAATTCATATTGAAATCACTTGCCTTAGCGAAAGCTTGACTTTGTTGTTGTAGAAGATCTGTCAGAGAATGGCTCAGCAAATATTGTTTTCCAGAAGCATAGAAACCCTTTGCTGATGCCATCACTTGTATTGTCTTCCCATTGCATATCTTTATCTGCAAACACATAGTATGATCATAAGTTCTACAACCCAGAAAAATATCCCATGGGAATTCGCAAAAGAACAACAAAAAACTTCAGCTTCCAACAACATTTATAGCTTAAAACTACAATCTCGCTGACCCACAAATCTCTATTTATCTTTATCTCTACAAAGCAAATGTAACTGGAGTAGTTGGCAAACCGGAAGAGGTTGATTAGTGAAGCAGAGTAACACGTTTTTATTTTTTTATTTTTCTTCATCATTTTAAGGTTAACGCTGTTACGATAACAAGCTGCAAATTGATTCTATCTATCTTCACTTACCAAGTTGATGACTCCACAACAAGCTTATTTTCGGTTCCATTCCTCCCCTAAGGTTGGTTCAAGGGGAAGGGAGGGGAGGGGAGGGGAGAAAGGAGGGCAAAAAATTTACTACCTCTGTTTGGTTAAAATTTGGAAATAAAATATAGATATTTTGCTTCCCCTCCAATTTTATTTTTTAAATTATTAGTATATTCTTAATATTATGTACAGTATGATACTATTTTTATTCAATTATATATAAATTATATTATATGTATTTTATAGTAAAAAATAAGTTATAATATTTTTAAATAATATAAAATAATTAAAATTATAAATCATTTTTATATAATTAAATTATTTTTAATCTAATTATTTAATTAAATCGGTAACAGTCTAGTCTAATTAATCTATCAAATTTTATTAAATATTTTTATTTTTTTATTTATATGCAAAATAATAAAAATTATTTTATTTTATTTCTCTTCTTATTTAATCAAACAAACAAACAAAAAAAACAAGTACTACTATTTTAATATTTGCTCTGCTATTTTAATATTTGCCTCCTTTCTTCGTGGAATCCCTCCCCACCCTCTCCTCCCGTCATTTAACCAAACAGACCTCTCGCATTCCGATAATAATAATAATAAAAAAAAGACCTCTCGCACGATGCATGATCTCTATCAAAAAATCACTGCTGGATTCCGGAAACGACAAAGTTACCTGCATTTCGAAATAATCACCATCCCGCCGCGTTGCACCATCTTTAGATTGGACTCTTTCAAGATCTGGAAATGACAAAATAAAGAAATACAAAGTTTAAAAAATTGAAGACTACTGCCATAATCCATCCAAGAAACAGATAGGAAGAAAATTAACCCACGTAGTATAGGTGGAGTTAGGTGAGAGAAAGAAAAGAACTCATAGAAATCCGACAGCTTCGGAATCGGGTGAATCGCCACCATATCATAGCTCGGGGATAACGCCGACGGAGGGTTCCCCGGAGACCGTAATTCTCCATCCGGCAGAGCTCCCACTGGCGCGCGCTGCTGAGCTTTACTTTTCTTCGATCGAGACTCCGTCCCTCCGCCGGAGACGCCGCTCCCGCACTTGGGCTTGCCGAAGCGCGTGGTGCACGCGACAAGATCGAGCAGCCTTCGCACGTGCGACAGCGCACGTGTCTCGTCTGAGTAGTCCTCTGCGGAGTAGGGGCAAAATATGTCAACAAATGTCACTTTACAAATTGAATCCCTAATTCCTTAGAACGCACAATTTACAAAAGCTCCCACATTTTTTCGGTTGGAATTTAATTTTTTTATTAAAATTTATTAAATTAAATTATTTTTTGTTTAAATCATATAAAAAAAATTATTTTTACTAGATTGGGCCATAATGGGGTTTGTTGTGAATATTGTGTGCAGGCACTAAGACTCAGACAGATGCCCCAATTGGACATTTTCTTGGGTCAACCCACGTTAATTGTTCAGCAGTCCTCGTTAAAAAGGAGCGTTAAAAACAATGTGGGTTGGAAACTCCTAAGAGCAATCAATAGGGTGTTAAATAACTGCTACTAAAGACAAACGTGTTTCATCTGCCAACCAATTAAAAAGTGCTTCGAAAAGAAACCAAAAAAACTCTATAAAAAACAATTACCTAAAGCATAATACGCCTGACAATATAACCAGAACTACAATTTTCAATTAAAGCAGTAATATAGAATTTAATGGTCTTGTCCCACAGGCAAAAATATACGTACACCAAAACTTTTTCAGTACATTTGTGGTCCCTATACATTGACAGTCCCAACTATATGGTTCAGTCTGTATGGGCCCCGAGTGCCAGGAACTCCTAACAAACTTCTGTTCCAAGAAATGGTATTTTAGATCAAGAATTTCGATCCCATTATATATATCCTTAAAATTGAATGATTTTAAAAATTCAATTAAACATGTATAGATCTCTAATGCTACTGGGTACTACACCTAAATCCTCACCCAAATCTAAAAATTTCCAGAGTGAATATGTTCTTTTCCCTGTGCACACAGAGAGGCATAGAAGTCTCCCCAATTTCAGAAAAAGGCCAAATTACTCATAAGCCAAAATAGCCGTAAGCAATAATGTCTATCAACTACGTGGCAGTATTAAATTACTAATGTGCAGCCAAGTATGAGGTTGAGGCATAATTTTGAGTAGCTCTACATTATTCGGTTTATCTTTACTGCTATCAAAAGCTGTCAATGTTGAATTCTTTAGGACTATGAGATGCATACGAATGGTTGAATTAAGAAATAAAATAATGGGTTATTAATTATTAGCAACTTGCAGGGTATCATAATCAAATTGGAATGCAGCATATACAGCCAATAATCTTGCCGTTTGATTATGTAAAGCAAAATTAGAAAGGCATGCGTTGATTGTTTATTTTTCTTGTTTTTTCCTTTGGTAGAGTAAGGGGTTGTACCAGCTGCATTGAAAGTAATACCTACCTTCAACCATTGTCAGCACACATGGCTTCAGTGTAACAACCTCTACCTTATCGCTCAGCCTCCGTCCTTTAACCTGCAGAACGAATAGAATCATTATTGAAGCTCCAACTGTCTGTCAATGGAGTTTTCTGATTGAATTTTGGTTAATGAAGGATTAATGATACAAACAAAGCCCCCAACAACACACACCAACACGGATACGTATGTGTCTGTGGGAATCTGATTTTCTGCTTACCTCATGAGCGAGGGAATATTCCGTGATGTGGCAGGTTTGTTCATTAACCGCCAGGAGCTTCTTCACGTCCAGTATCTTATCAGTGGAGATGCCCTTTCATCGTTTTTTAACCGAATCAAGCAGTCAGTGAGCTCAGACGTCTTCCATTAAAGATAAATTGTGTAATCAGGAAATCGAGGATGATGATATTCGAGTCGCGTACCTTGAGAACCAATTCAGTCTCATATGGCGTGATTACGGTTATGTCAACAACGCTAGGTACAACTGCAGAAGCACAAGAAGTTAATGAAGAAACTGGACGAACAGCGTTCGAATGAAGAATTCAAAAACAGATTCCGAGAATTAAGCGATTCCTCTACACACCTTTATCTTCTTTTTTCTTCTTCTCATTCCTGGATTTGTTTCCCTTGCCCCTACCTGACCTCGGAGCCATTTCCCCGACTCTTCTCTGCTTCCTCTGTAAGTTAACCAACAGCAGAAACGCTTTCGAATAACTAAACACCAAATGAAAACTCAAACAATGCAAATTCCAATACCAATACAACTATTGCATTCAGAATCTCGGCTTAAAATGAATACGCATAGAAAAGGACAAACAAAATATCTAATAATCATCGATAGCCGTATTTAGGTTAGGTTAGTGAAGAAAAACCCAAAGGTGAGGGAAGGCAACCTCCGGCAGATACAAAAATGGTGAAAAAAAATCTACAAACGCTTTACGAATGAAGAAAACAGCAGCGATAAAGCGAATGGATAAGGGAGTATATACCTCGGTCTGGACTGGATTCCTGGCAAGAAAATCCTGGCCTCACCTTCTTGCCGCCTTCGATGATTCTCTCTCTAGCACTGGCGAGCTCTCTCCCACCATACCCACAGTCCAGTAGGTGTTTTCTCTCTCTACACGCTCTCTGCAACGTCCTTTTTCTGAGAGCAAATGAAGCCCATGCGTTCAGGACGCAGACAAAGAAGTGTTGGGGAGTTGTGGGATCGGACGGCGGATAGTCCGCCACGTGGCGCCCGATGCTGCTTTGTTTTTTTCTCAAGCGTACAAATGGGTTTTGCCGTTATGATATTTTTTCCGGCTCATGTTGACTCGGGTTTACTTGGAAATTGTTTGATGAGAATCTTTGAACCGGTACGTAATTACGTGCTAATAGACTAATAATGACGCCTTTTTGGGGTTAGGAAAATTAGTAATTATGAATTTATGACATATTTGATTGGTTGTTGTATTTAAATAGGTTTACTGAAATTGATAATTGTGTTTGTTTGTGTTTTTTTTTAATTACTTTTCATGAAGTTATCATTTTCTATTTTCGTCCGTCCCAAAATAAGATTATAATTTTCTAATTTAGTAACGGTACTGTCTATCTAAGAGATAGATAATTAATACCCTTTCAGCTTACAATATATTACATAAATGTCATTATTTTTATATTTCACTGTATTAATAGGGATATTTTTTGTCTTTATCAAATGACACCCTTCTAATGAGACGAAGAGAATACAATATATCATTCATAAAAAAAAATTACAAATTAATATAATTTTTTTTAAAAAAAAAAATTGCTGACACTAATAGACATGTATGCATTGTAAGTAGACTTATAAAATATTATATTCCATATTAATTATGACTTATCTATATTTTTGAAAAATATGTATTGTGAAAAACATGCTAATTTTTATATAAAAATATTATATTAAAAACTATTCACCTCAAAATTAAAGTCTCATTTAATTATGTTTTTAAAATATTTTAAAAGTTTAAATAGATTTAAAAATAATAAAGTATTAAATAAAAAATATTTAATGTGAAATGTATATATATATATAATATTTTGAATATAATATTATTTTTTGAAAAATATTTTTATGAATGGTGTGAAAATAAGTTTAAAAATATAAATAATTATAATGCAAAATAAAAATAAAACACAAATACACATGTAGACAAAAAAAATTTATTGGTATGTTTATTTTGTATTTTTGAATAAATGTCTTCTCTATATATTAGGGATGATGTATTGTGTTCCAAATATAAAAAATAAATATTTTATTTTGTGTTAAATTTTAAATTTTTGTGAGAGAAATGAATATAATATATTATAATTGTATTTTTTATAATATTTATAGGGAATTGTGTCAAAAAAATATATTAGTTAAACAAGCTCAATATTTCAATTCTTAAAACTATAGTATATGGAATTATTGTTTTCTCATAAAATAAGTCTGCTCTTCTTGTCAAAATTTCTTTTACATATTTTCAAAATAAATTAATATATTACACATACTTATTATTTTTATATTACTTACATATTTTTTTTAACTTCATCTAACAAAAATTTTCCTCCAATCAAAATCAATATTATATATTTTGTATGATTTTCAATAAAAATATATTTTTTTTTACCAAAAAATTATTGAAACAAAAATTCAAATCTAACATCTTATTTCCAATTAAGTTTAAACTATAACCAAACATACCATTTTATGATTTTTTTAATTATTTATTGATAACTGTAAAATCAACCTGGGGAATTGTAATTTTTTTAATAAAGTAAATTTTATTATTTTTAAATTATTAATTTAAAATAATATATTTTTATTACAAAATATGAATAAAAATTTTATTATTAAGAAATGACATATAATTCTGTTCTGATTTAATACGAGCAGTGTTATATTTGTAAATTCATCAGTTTAGTTAATTGAAAATTATTTTTCTATAGTAATTTTAAGTTTTAGTTAAAAATATTTTAGAAATATAATGATTTTTTATTAAAGAAAATAATATATTTTTATAAATAAATTATAAATATTGCATAATATATACACTAGAATTCAAATTTTTAAGTAAAGAGAGGCTTGCTTATTTGTTTTCTTTAAAATAAAATAATTATTAACTAAAGATGTGTTCGGGTTAAGCTTATAGTAACAAAAATAATGTCAAACTTATGTTACGATTGATTGAAAAAATAATATCAATTTTAATTTAAAATTACAACAATATACATCTCATATTTATATTAAAAATTAATTTATTTTTATTGAAAATAAAAATACCATAACTAAATACAAAAAAAGTAAATTTATAAAATTGTTTGAAAAAATATTTTTTTATGTGATATATAAACAATATAAAAATAATAAATATACGATACTATATTAATTATTTTGAATAATGTGTTGATTTATTTTCACAAAACAAACAAATCAACTGTATAATTTAAAAATGTGTTTAAAGTTTTAATGTGGTATTTTTAATTCGAAAAAATATATAGAAAAAATATTTACATGCTAAAAAAATATCTATTTTATCTTCTTTTTTTATGATAACAAATAAATAATATTTATGTCTAATTACATTGGTCTATTTTTTAAAACTTGAGATATACTCTTTTGCTCCAAATCAAAAAGGTCCTTTTGGACTTTTATAGTACATTAAGAAGTAATATTCGATATTTTATTAGTTAGTGAGAATGTATAAAAGTTTTTGATATTTTAATTTTTTGACTTAATGTATAAAGTAATTGTATCTGTAGTGGTATGTTTGTAATTTAAGTAAAATATATAGTATTTTAGTATTAATGTATAATTATTTTTTTAAAAAAATAGAAAATAGATACTTTGAAGTGAAACATATAAAAATAATAAAAAGAATAAATTAAAATATGACGGAAAGAATATAAATTATATTGATAGAAAATTTGTCACCATTGAAATTCATAGTGTATCATACATTACAAACTGTTCCTAATTATTTTTTATTTGAATAATAGTTGGAATATAATATTATGTGATAAAATAATACTCCATCCGTCAAGTTAGAAAGTATATATATTTTTATTTTGGAACGTTCAATTATAAAGTAATTATTTTATTGAATACCTTGTTTTTTTCCACAAATACCCTTACTTTACATCACATCATTACTTTTACACCAAAAAAATAAGGACAAAAATATCATTATATTACTTTTAACTGCCCACTATAATTAAAATACTATTATTTCTTAAACACCGCGTCAAAAGTAAATGTTTACTTTCTGTGTGAACGGATGAAGTAATATATTTTTATAAAGAATTATAACGATTGTAGTAATAATAATAATAATAATAATAATAATAATAATCTCCCGATATTGGAATTGTCACATTCTCATGGGTTTGGATTTTGAATTGAGATTTGTAAAAATTTTGAATTTGAATAGTTGTATGATGTGATATAAATAGGTGTTGATGTGATTTTTTGAATGTAAAATTGATTTTTAATATAATATAAAAAATAAAAAATAGGTGTTTGATTTGATATTTTTTGAGAAAAAAATGAGATGAATAATGGAAATTAAATCCAATCCCCCAAACAAACACACCCTAGTAAATTTTCCGAAACTGATATGACATTGACGTAGCTAATTTGTTAATGCCAAATAAATTTTTTATTTTTTATTTTTTATTTTTTACGTGATTATTTATTAAATCCATTTAACGTTGACAAATTAGTCACGTAAGCAAATAATTTAATAATATGAATATTAGGTCAAGTGGCTCCTAATTATGGGTAATGAAGGTTTGATACGCCTTTTATGATAAGATATCTGTGTATATTTAGATATATTTCAGAAATATACTAAAAAATTGAATTTATTTAGAGTATGTTTGTTTGGGGGATTGGATTGGATTGAATTTACACTATTCATCCAATTTTTGCCTCTAAAAAATATCAAATTAAACATGTATTTTTATTTTTTATATTATACTAAAAATCAATTTTACATTTAAAACATCACATCAACACCTATTTATATCACATCATACAACTATTTAAATTCAAATTTTTTACTATTCAAATCCCAACTAAAAATCCAAAACCTCAAACAAACACACCCTTAGAAACTGTGAATTGTACATATTTTGACATTTTTATTTGGTTTCAAAATTAGGTATTGTGTGTTGGTTTGGGGTTTTTGGATTTTGAGTTGAAATTTGAATAGTAAAAATTTTGAATTTGAATAGTTGTATGATGTGATATAAATAGGTGTTGATGTGATGTTTTGAATGTAAAATTGATTTTTAGTATAATATAAAAAATAAAAAATAGGTGTTTGATTCGATATTTTTGGAAAAAAAAATAGAATAAATAGTATATTTAAAATCTAATCCTCAAACAAACACACCCTAATAATTTAACATAAAATAGATTTGTTGGTTTGTTTGTTTTGTATTTTGATTTGAATAATAATAACGTAAATTATAGAAAATTGAATAGATAATATAAATATAATAAATTTGTGTAATATAATATTATTTTTGAATAAATATATTGAATGTTTTTTTCGGAAAAAAGAACACACCCAATATTTTACATGCTTAGAAAATGAATGAATATGTTAATAGTCACGGCAAAAAACAAATTGAAACCATAAATAAACAAGACTTAACACACTCTATTGTCACTTTAGTTCAATAATGTTATTTGTAAATTTGCTCTCTCAATTAATTTTTTACCGATGCGGTTTGCAATATATATAATATATATTTTATTTTTTTACAAAAACATCAACATTCAATGTACGGTCATTTTTACTTTTATTTATATATATATTATCTGTATGATTCTCCATGTTTTACGTTAAAAATACTTCAATCTAAAACACTAAACAAATAAAAGTTAATTCATTGTTCATAATACATATAAAGATTTTCTCATAAACAACCATGAGGTCATGGGTTAAAACCTGATGCCTCAGGTCACCTACCTCTTGGTAAGTATATATTTTGTCATTTTTTATTGTCGAAACATAAGTATCTATTTTTTTCTATTAGTGTGTATGGAATATTGCATATTACAAATACTTTCATATTTATTTAAATTAATATCCTCACGGTAACTTAATACATCATAGGAATAAAATAATTTTAACATACAATAATTGTCATCGACTATCATTAAATTATATATAAGAAATGAATAGTATTTACTTTCTAAATAGGCAGAAAAAAGTATTATTTTTTTGTAATTTTTTTTTTAAAAAAATTATGTTAATAAAACACATCCTTAACAAAACAAAATACAATAATATAAAATGTCCTCTATAACTTCCTTTATACATGTATAGAGAATAATTAGAATGCTAATTAGTGTTAACTAACACAAAGCTTGATTAGTTGTAATTAATATGTGAAAATATAGACGACCAATATAGAATTAATATAATATATATTGTATAAAAGTGTTACTTATATACTGTATATTTTAATTTGTACGTATTGTATTAACATGTGTCGAAATCATTACATATGAATTTATTATATTTTAATATACATAACATAAAAAATACAATTTTATATTTTAAAAACAATTTTTCATACATAACATAAAAAACACATCTAACATAAAATACTATTTTTTATATTTTAAACATATTTTTTTATACATAATATAAAAACTACATCTATAAAAAAAAAAAAAAAAAAAAAAAAACACGCGCACATGTAGTTATATATTTTATTTATATTACATTAATATATACTTAATGTTATCAATTTATACCAATATAATCAAAATCAAATAATTACATTTTGGCCTCATACATGAAGACACTAACTTAGGCTAACTATAGAAATATCCCCTTGTTTTTTCAATATTATTTTTTAATTGTGATTCGAAAAAAGTAATACTCTTTTCATTTCAATACAATAGTCATATTTACTATTTTTGTCGGTCCCGAAATAATAGTCTCATTTCTATAAATAATTATATTACTATAAAACTACCCTTACTTTTTCATTATTATTACACAATTGACACTATTTTTTACACTAATGCTCACAAGGGCAAAAAAGTCTTTTACATGTACTTTTTACCCGCTACTAATATAATATTAATATTCATTAAATCTCGTACCAAACACAACCTAAACTACAGTTCTGGGAATGAGAGAGTAATAAAAAATACAAAATATTTTATATAAAAGTCAAAAAGTCAAAATACTAATTATAAAAAAATAAAAAAAAATCATTGTAAAAAGCTATAAAGTTAAATATTCAACATAACATAATATTTTATTTTATATTTTTTACCTAATTTTTCATATTACACAAAAAAAAAAAAATGAACAGAGCCATAATAGCATTTTTTTTCAACAAAATGAAAAACATGACATTACAAATATCTAATAATTAAAATAATATGGTTGCAATCTTGTTTAATTTTTTTTTAACAATTTCTTACAAATATTTTAAAAATAAAGTACATACGCACATTGATAATATATATTTTATCTATTTAAAACATTAATAATTTAATTAATATAAAGTAGTATTTCTTTTATATTTTTGACATTGTTTCATATTAACATAAAAAATATATTCATTCAAAATTATATATAGTTAAAATATCTTTATATTTAAAACAATAAATTTAATACATGTTTGATATTTAATTTTTTTTTTATTTTGTTGAAAATTATGACCTAATCCAAGTAATTCATCAGTAAATATTGATAATTGACCCATATTTTAGCTCGGCCTATCGGACTTGACCCAAACTTTTTAATCCAAATCAACCCTAAGCTTGAACCAAGTCATTAGCCATTTTGTTAGATTAGTTTTGATGAAGTTTTAAAGATACATAGAGAGAGAGTTTGGGGGCTTTTAGAGTTACTTTCGTCGTAGTAGAAACCGACCATCCGAGAGAGGAGATGAAGATTTGAAAAATCGAGCGTCTTTTGGTGAGGTTGAAAGATTTTTCGATGAGATTCATAATTTTTATTTTGTGCCGATTCTGGTGAGTGTCGATGTTTAAAATAAGGTGCCGATCTCCATTTTGAGCTAAGATTAACTCTGACCATTTCGCATGTTCATAATTTTTTATTATATTTTTATAATTTTTAATAATTAATAAAAAAATTAAAAATCTTAAACACCAATGAAATTTATTGTGATTTAAAATTAATTTAAAATGAAATATTGATTAAAATTTTGGTTAAATTTTGTATAGAATGAATATAATTAATTTGAATCTGAAAGAATAAATCCTAAATATTATAAGTTCAATATTGTGTGACTAATTTTTAAAGCCGAATGCCTTAGGTAGTTGAGGTGCTAATCGGCGGTAGGTGGTACGGATGGATATGGGTGTGTTTGTTTGGGTATTGGATTTTAAATTCACTATTCGTCCCATTTTATTTTTTTTTTAAAAAAATATCAAATCAAACATATATTTTTTATTTTTCATATTATACTAAAAATCAATTTTGCATTTAAAACATCACATCAACACATATTTATGTCACATCATACATCTATTCAAATTTAAAATTTTTACTATTCAAATTCCAATTCAAAATCCAAACCCCCGAACAAACACATATTCATCCCTAATTCTTGAAAATATATATTAAAATTGTATATAAGAAAATGTTCGAAGTCAATGGTTGGATTTTGTTTGTTTTTCAATAAAAAAAATAACGCAAAATTTTTAATAAAGATGCATTAATATCTATCATAAGACATTACATTAAACTATAATTACAAAAACTTAGGTTCCATTCCCATAGAAAATAGAGTTCTAGAACAAAAAAGCTATAATAGTAAAAAATATGAAATTTAGTAAGAAAAAATAAGTATTTAATGTAATATATTTATATATTATAGAAATTAATTTTGATGAATAATACTAATCAAAATTTTTAAAAATACTTTAGTAAGCAATATCTTAAACTTTATTTTAAAAACCCAAATCAAACACTTATGAACTTGGATATTGCATTGCGTTTTCAATTCTATGTTTACTTAGTATTTTGGTTTTATTGTTTTTACTATATTGTCTTATAAAGTACTCCATGTCCCATATAACATGGACGTATTACTGTAGACACTGGATTAGGTAAAGTATAATTAGTAAGTAATTAAGAAGTGTATTAGTAAAAATAATTATTATTTAGTAAAAATAATTATAGATTAAGATTAAAATAATTAAATAGTTTAATTAAAATTAAAAAAATTATAAAATTTAAAATTTAAAATGCGATTAAAGTGCATAATTATATTTCCAAAAATAGAAAGGACAAGTTATGTGGGACATACAAAAATAGAAAATAGGGACAAATTATGTGGGATATTATATATATATATGTATATTTCGTCCATCAACTCATAAGATATGCATTTCATTTTCAATTATAAATAAATTTAAATTTATTTATTTTTACATTAATACTAAAATACAAGACAAAATAAAAAAATATTTTCACACAAAAGATTAATAATTACTCCATCCATCCGTCCAATTTATATTGTCCTATAGTATATTTACAAGGTTTTTTTAGGTAATTGTTTTTTTTTTTTTTTATGAATTGAAAAATTTATCCTTAATTGTATGATAGAAATTAAAAGTAATAAATGAATAGAGGGTAAAAATGTAAAATTTGTATTTAAAAAAAATAAGAGAATAGTAGTTTAATATCCAAAATAGGAAAGTAGGATATTAGTTTGTGGATAAAAGAGTATTATTTATTAATCTCAGTGTAAAAAATAAATGTTTACATTGAGACAAAATTCACATTAATGTTATTATGTAAACCGAAATCTAAAATTAAAATACAAAATTAAACCCTAATTATTTAAAAGTAATATTTGAAACTTGTTGTATATTCTTATTGCCCCCTTAATGGTTTTATAAAAAGAAATTATTTCTTACACAATATATAAAAATAATAAAAAAATTATTATATCACTCTCACAATTTCACATAATGTTTTTATAATTCTTAATAGTTACTAACAAAACAATCTAAAAATCATAAGCATTAAAAGAATACAATATAATTATTAGCCAGACTTGCCAGGCCTGAGCCCAAAATTTCATGCCAATAGCCCGGTCCATAATATCATCAAATCCACAGAACGAGGCCCACGTGGCCCGGCCCGGCCGCGGCGTGCCAAAATATTTCCACTTCTTTAATGATTAAAATAACAGTAATAAAAATGTAGCTGATATTTGAAATTACAAAATTGCCCCTCCGCGCACAACAAAATGAGCGCGAAATCGGGAAGGAACCTAAAGTCGACTCCATCGCAGTTTTCAGCGTTTCCAGTCGGTCGACGGCGGCGGAGTGCGGCGGTTTTGCTGCGTTTGAACAATGCCAGAGCTTCCGGAGGTGGAAGCGGCGCGCAGGGCGGTGGAGGAACACTGTGTGGGGAAGAAGATCAATAAATGCACCGTAGCTGATGATTCGAAGGTAGTCGACGGCGTCTCCCCGAAGGACTTCGAAGCAGCGCTCGCTGGGAAAACTATAGTCGCCGCGCATCGGAAGGGGAAGAATATGTGGCTCGAGCTCGATTCACCTCCTTTTCCCACGTTTCAATTCGGTACTTTCCTTAAACCCTAAATTCCTTACGGTACTGTTTTCTTCATCATCGAGTAGTCCGTAATGTTATTGCCGCTTTCGTTTTCCAAATGTTGATTGTTATGGTGGCGCCTGGAATTATTCGATAAATTTAAAGCTATCACAACCAGAGTTTGAGATTTACTCCTTACAGAACTATAGAAGCCTCCTGCATTCTCAATTTCAATTGCACGTTGATCATATGCTGCAAAAATAAGAGAGTAAAAAACTTGATTGGATTGGAAGCATGGTTTCTGAACTGGTTATTTGAAACTGAGATATGCTTCTTGTTTGCTTAATTTCTATGTTTTGATGATTCATAGTGGGGGATAAACATTGGGGCTTTCTTATAATTGATCTTCATTTGTTTTATGAAGGAATGGCTGGAGCTGTATATATCAAGGGAGTTGCAGTCACTAAATACAAGAGGTGAGTGACATATTTATGGTCGTAAGATTGAAACAGGCTATTGAAAATTAACCCTAATGCATTATTTTTACGATAGAGGTATGCCCGTATCCTGTTTCAGGTTGTTGGGTGGTTTCTTATTTTTAGGCGCCCAACGAGAGAAATGATATCTTCGATTGGTTTAAGTTTTAAGAGTTTAATATAAGATACTAGAATCAGGAATTTAATGTGTATGGAATATGGATATATATATATATATATGTATATTTTGGAGTAATGCTATGGGGTTGAGAATCTGAGAATGGTTTCAAACTGTGCAGGGTGGAGGATATTTGGATGATCCCCAAACTTGGTCCTATAAAATCAATTATTCCCATTATTTTTGTTGTCTTAGATAATTTTCACATACCAATGAAAATTTTACATGTTGGAGTACTATAAAATTTATTGTGTCTGAGACAATGTAAGGCTGTGTGCATCTGATGTTTTAGGTTGTCAATTTTTAAGATTGTGTTTCTACTGATCATGACAGCATTTGCTATTATTGCCAGGTCTGCTGTAAAGGATACAGACGAGTGGCCCTCTAAGTATTCTAAGTTATTTGTTCAAGTGAGGTTCTGCACCTTGATTTGTTGATGGAAACTTCTAATTCTTAATGAATCAAACTGCAAAAATTTGCTTGTTATGGTGAAAGAAGACCTCATGCTTTTCCAAGCACTCACACTGTTATTTTCGTGTTCTCATAGGTCTTTAAGTTTTAAACTGTGAAATATATATAATGCATTTGATGCTATTATTACATTAATGCCGTGTTTCCATTTGTGTTTCAGCTAGATGATGGTTTGGAATTCTCTTTCACAGACAAGAGGCGGTTTGCTAAAGTCCGTCTGATTGACAATGTAATGTGTAACTTTACGTTCATTGCATTGTTTCTGTTCATCATATTCATCTTTCCAAGATATTTCCATAACAATGCTTTTCACAGCCAATTTCTGCTCCCCCTATCTCTGAGCTTGGTCCTGACGCATTAAAGGAACCCATGACGGAAGATGAGTTCTATAGTGCTTTATGCAAGAAGAAAATTGGGATTAAGGCCCTTTTACTCGACCAGGTTTTAGTGTTTTTCCGCTAGCACGTATATTTCTTAAGATTTGTTTTTTGAATGGCCTTATTCTGTTTATTGGGAAAGAACACTCTTTTTGGTTCTGAAAATCGGCTCAACTCATCTTTATTTGTTTGAAGATATGAACTGTCAGAAAATATAAAGCACTTTAAATTGACTTCCGGTTTGATTTTATATACGGTCAAATCAACGTCATTGGATGTGTTTACTGATAGAATCCGTTGTGTTTGTTGTTTTGTTGGTCAACCTGTTTTGATAGTAACTGAGTTTCAAATGGTGTCCGAAATTCTCTAATTCATTACATACCTCCTTTTCCAACGAATAGTATTGATTTAGTCAATGTGAATAGGTGAACAGTCTCGTTCAGTCGTTTGCATATGCCGATGCCACACTTATTTACTGTAACTTGATTGTTCTGTAGACGTAATTAGACATGTCTATTTAGCTGAAGAAGTAACTCAGTGTGTGATCGTTTGATATTATTTTGTATAAGAAAATCTGTTGAATTCATCAAGACTACTTTGAGTGTTTTAATTTGCTTCGCATGGTAGTTTTTTGAGACATTTTTATCCTGTCATTTCTGTCCAGAGTTTTATCTCCGGTATTGGTAATTGGATGGCTGACGAAGTGCTCTATCAAGTTAGTAAGCTATTTTTCTCTCCCTTTGATTTATGTGCTTTTACTGAAAAAAAAAAATACAAAAAAAATAAAAAATTTAGGCAAACTTATATATAACCCACTTGTGGTTTGAAAATTCAGTATCATTCTCTCTTGTGATTTAAAAAATGTATGGGGCTCCCTCATATTTTAGAAAATATTGCATAGAATCTTTTAAAAATTGTGCTAGATTCCTTCGTGTTTAAAAAATATTGCACCGAAACTCGTAAAAAAGAGATTTTGTGCAATATTTTTTAAAACATGAGAGATTGAGCAATTTATAAATCATAAGGGAGAATGGTACAAAAATATAGGTGGGGTACTAGCAATTTTGCCAAAAAAAAAAATAATAATAATAAATAAGTAGAAAGCAAAAGATGTACATTACTTCTTAAAAATTTCCTTTAATTTATCTGATTTAATGGATTAGCATATTGCTGTTCTTTTCAAAGCACTTTAGTGTGAAGCTAAGCCCCTCCAAAGTACTTCATCCTTTATGTAAAATTATATTTCGCCATGAATTTTAATATGGGTGGATAATAATTAGTATATTTTATTTTTTATAGTAAAAAAATTAAAAAAAAGTAGATATTATTTTATACTAAAAGGTGAAACTTAAAACATTTTCTTTTGACAAAAAAAGTGAAATATTACTTTGGATGAGAAAGAGTAATAATTTTTTATTTCAGCCATTTGAAATATCTATACTTCCCGACTTATTTTTAACCCTGGCATACATTAACGAATATATAACTTTATACCCGTATGAGAATTCCCATATTTTGATTTAACAGGCTAGAATTCATCCACAGCAAGCTGCTTTGAGCATGTCCAAAGATAGCTGTGCAACCCTGCTCAAGTCCATTAATGAGGTGGAAACATGTATATTTACATTGTTTGTTGAGTTAGTCTTATTTATTTTTCTTTTAGGTTTGTGTACATATAGATATTACTGGGGTTGGCACTCTTAGGTTACAATATTTGCCGTTGAAGTGGATGCTGACAGCCTCCGATTCCCTGTCGAGTGGTTGTTTCATTATCGCTGGGGCAAAAAACCTGGAAAAGTTGATGGTAAGATATTTTTTTCTTTAACAAACTGAAATTTAATGTTGAAGGGTTTATTTTACAGGTAATCGAAAAGGCTATTCACGTCGGGGCAGATAGTAGTCAGTTCCCTAGTGATTGGATTTTCCATTCCCGGGAAAAGAAGCCCGGCAAGGCTTTTGTTGATGGTTGGCTCTTAACCTGTGCAATGCCATTTTCTCAATTGCTGCCGTGATGTTTAAACGATCCTTTTTAGATAATTGATTATATTAGTAGTCCCGATGAAGATTAGGTTGTGTCATGTTGTTCAATTCAATACCTTATTATCAGAGTTCGAGTCTTGTATTACTCCAACTTAAGTTTTGCTTATGTGCCATAACTAATTTTTTTTCCACTTTCAGGGAAAAAAATTGCCTTCATCAATGCCGGTGGCCGGGTAAGTCTGTTGTCGTCAATGCTTGCTTTCGTATATGATTTTCACAAGTTTTTATGTTTATCTGCTGAGGATTTCATTCGTCTGCATTGCAGACGACAGCCTATGTGCCGGAGTTGCAAAAGTTGCCCGGTGATCAAGCTGTAAAAGAATCGCGGAAACTATCAAAAGGCGCATCGTCTGGCAATGGTGACGAATCTGGAAATGACGAGGAACTTGTGCCACCGAATCCCAAGAAGGACAAAAAGACTAGTCGAGCTAGGCAGCACTCCACGAAGAAGAGGGCGAATGGAAGTAGCGACGATTCTGAAGAAGATGAGTCTGGAAATGTATCTTCAAAGAGACCTGCTAAAAGAAAAGCAAAGGAGAACGACAAGGCGAGGAGACAAACAAGAGGGAGAACTAAAGTCGAGCAAATTGATGATGAGGCGAGCAACGAAAGTGGTAGTGAAGATGGAGAGGAAGAACCTCCGGATGTCAAGAATAGAACGCCGTCCAAAAAAAGGGCCGCGCCAAAACAAAAAGGGAGGCCGAAGCAGAAAGCAAAGTAATTCGCCCTCGCCTTATTTTATAGCCGAATGAACTTCCTCAGCCGTCACATCTCCTAATATTATGATCAAAAGAATGACTTGATGGTTCATAAGTTACACTAACCTTTTGCAGACTGTTCTCTTCATAGCCATGGCTGTTGTGTCTCAAACTGGTTCAGTTCATACATCTCTTGTATCATATAATATTTTCTGTCGGAACGGACACCAGGTAAGGCAAATCGATGCATGTTCAAAAGAAAGCTTTCAAGGCATCCACAACTTTCTCCGGCCTGTAAATGGTTGAAACATCGACGAGGGAGCTATTGAATAGGCAACATTATAAGGTAGCATATAAGATGTGCAAAAGTTAGGTTGTTTTGTGTTTCTTACCAGTCTTCCTGCGGCATGTGGCCGGCGCCTTCGATCATGTTAACCTTTACTATGTCGGGATTACCTTTCTGAAATTCTTCGGCTACAGATTTTGGAAGGTACTTGTCTGATATACCCCAGGCAACTAGAATTGGTTTCTCCCACCTGAGAAAGTTTTATACTTACTTTTGCCTCTTAAGATCTTGTAGTTTTATATAGGATCTATAGTTTCTTGCATACCTTCCGGAAGCGAACCCGGTCGATACTTGCCGGTTAGTTTCCTTGAAGTCAGCCTTCTTTGCAGCCTCCAGCAGAGCTGGAACACCAGAAAGGATATGAGTAAGACGTAATGTATTGGCCATGGAAGAAAGATTAATCAATGATATTTTGCAGATTGATCATTCTTAAGGGTGAGTATTCGGTCGGGGTTCGAACTGAACTTTAAGTATTGATTGGTTTTCGGTTTGAAAAAATCAAAACCGAAATCGAACCAAATTGTGTAAAACCAAACTAAACTAAACTAATTTGGTTTGATTTAAAACCGAACAAACCGTTTTTTTTTAAATTTTTATGATGTTTGAATTGGCAGATTCACCGACCAAATCCAGGTCCGCTGCTGGACAAATATGGCAGTCGATACACATCTGCCTTCTCCAGCTTCAAGGCATAGCTGCAATCAAAGTGAGTCTTGTTTATTACAGACCAGATAGAAAATTGAACAAATCTGATCAAGCATGCTTAGGGAAAAGAAGAAAAATAAACAAATAAATAAAAATGAATTCTTGATACATACGCGCTACCTGCTTCAATAAAACGCTCAGCCATGACTGCATTTTGGCAAGTGAATTCACCCAACAATGGAATCCTGCTCATGTACAAAGGCAAACAGTTACATGAGGCCTACAGCCTCAATAATAGGCATAAAAGGAAAACCTCAGTTGTTGAAACAGTCCAGGAAGAGGAGATGAGATCGTCAATGGAGTGTTCAGCACTGCAAGCTTTGAGATTCTGTCTTGATTTTTCAAAGCCCAAGTCAGTCCATAGGATCCCACCAGAAATCCCTGTAAAGGGGTACAATAGGAGAAGAATTCATAGGTACAAAATTTTAGCATCATTGCATTTTGAGGAAGAAAGACATACAATTGGAATGAATATATTGTAATGTTTCCTAAGAATGTTATTACCTGAACTACTAGGAAAACAGGAGAAGTAACCCCGAGAGTATCCAATAATTTGTCGAAAACTTCATGGAACTCTTTCTCTGTAAAATAAATTTTGAAAACACAGCCAAGTATGAGATAAAATATACACAAGAGGATGAAATGATGGTCACAATGCACAAGCCTGTGTAGTCAAATCCATATCCAGCCTGAGGCTTGTCGCTAAAACCGAATCCAATCCAGTCAGGTGCAAAGCAGTGGAAACCGGCACCTGCCATCTGAGAAAGGAAGACTCATCAGACATTAATGGAGGAAAATATACTGTATTCACGTTAAGACCTAAAAATCCATGCTAAAATATCCCAAGAACACGAGAAACAACTATGTGATGAAGATTATTTGATATCATGCATTCAAAATTAGAAAAACCAACAAACACCTGAGACATAACAACTCGATAACTGTAGGACTGTGTTGGAGCTCCATGGAGAAAAACAATCGTTCCGCGCCTGCTCGAGGGTGATCCTGCAATTGATGATATTGTTGAAACTTGATAGCTAAGATACAAATAACACACGACACTTATGCAATGCTTCACCTGTTTCTCTCACAAACCATCGGAAACCTCCAGATTTAATGTAAGAGCCATAGTCCTTTCCCTTGTCCTCTATTCTCTTTAACAATCAGACAAAATACACATATGTTAGCCTATTTCTCCGAAATAACAAAATGATTTTGAAGCAAGGAAACACCAAACACGATGAATATCCACATGAACATAGACAAAAACTATGATTCCGATACTATTGAATATTGAAAGCATCAATTTCTAGCCTCGAAATAATTTTAGTAACAGAGTGATAAATTATGAAAGACCAAAACTGCACAGTACATCTCAGCTGAATATCTTATAACAATCAATTCTGCAATGCATCATTAAAGTCTTTGATCATAAAATTAATAAGCAGAAACACTATTAACTGCTAAAGTAATGGAATGAAAAATTAAACTATGACAGAGTTGGTGCTTCAATCCTATGTTTGGAAAGGTAAGTAAATTACGTAGAGCATCTGTCCGACATTCCCGTCCTCCGCCGGTGATTCCGGAAGCTGAATGGCGCTGCGACTCGACGGATTATCAGTGACAAAACCAAACGGATTGAATGCCGGTTTGTCATCGTCTTCTTCAGAAGCCTTCGCGATTGTACGGACAAACCTTTTGTGCACAAAATATCTTCTTGAAGAAGAAAATCTAACAATCGGAGAGGCAAGATAAGACGGCGAAGCAATGAAAGTTAGAGACATCGCGATTGCAGCAAACCGCCGGCGCCGGCGGAGGAAGTTCGAATTTTAACGACCACAACTCACACTGGATACCGAATCTCCTCTGCGCTTATATATATCTATATAAAGACTATATTACCCCTTAGCTTATAGCAATACTCTGTTTTGCTTCGGAGCTTTTTAGGGGTGTTTTTGTCATTACATTTACATTGATAAATTGATTCCACGGAGGACCACGTGGCAGTTTATGTGGTGGAAATAGAAATAAAGAAAAGTAAAAGGACTAAAGGAGTAAAAGCTTGTAGGAATCCGCTAGGGTAAATACTAACCTCTCAGACTTTGACACAACGCACCGTCAACCTCTTCTCGATATATGGCCGACGATGCCGTTTTCTCCCCCGCCGACGAGGGCTTATCGCCGAATTCCGGCATCGAAATCACGGTAGTTTCTTATTTGGCTTTGATGTTGTTGCTGTTAGATGGAATTTATTCACCGGCGGATGAGTTTATCACTGCTCCGTCACTATCTATATATTGCGGCATTGTTTAATTTGGTTGATTTTTTCGCGGGGATTCAGTAATATCCGCTTGTAAACTAGTTTGGAGCTTCTATTTAATGCGTTGTAAGCTTAAAAAGGCGCTTAATTAACGGTAATTGAAGATTGGAGTTAATTTAATACGTCGTTTAATTGAATGATGTCAAGTTTGCACTATCGTTTCGAAGAGTGATGCTTCTCTCGGTAGGTTATGTTTGTGTGGCAATCGATTGAAAATTTTGATTGAAATTGCAAGATGATTCTGCGAGCTGGAGTCAAGGTTTGAGATGTGGAAAATGTCTGATTAGTTCATGTTATTTTGCTTTTGCTTCTGTTTTCGATCTTTAATCTGTTTAGTTTACATGCTAGGTAGGGGAAAGATCTGGGAATAGTGAAGAATTGCTGGATGATGATGGGGAGGAAGACTTTGATATCAATACCAGTGACCTTGGAGAAGAAGACGATCAAATGCTTGAGGTCAAGAGCAATGATCTCGAGAACGACATTCAACAAGTGCTAGAAATTGAAAGAGTTGATCTTGAGAATGGCGAGGAGCAAGTGGTTGAATACGAAACCAATGACCATGAGAGCAATGGCGAGCGGGTGCTTGAAATACCAAGCAGCAGTGGCCAAATGGATGGAATCTCCATCAGTGATAATGAGATGAACATAGCAGTTGGTCTGGGAAATCGAGGTGACGCTCAGTCTTATCCCCTGCCTGCTGTGGGAATGGAGTTTGAATCATATGATGATGCGTATAACTATTACAACTGCTACGCAAAGGAGCTTGGATTCGGCATTAGGGTCAAGTCGTCGTGGACAAAGCGCAATAGCAAGGAGAAGCGTGGGGCTGTGCTCTGTTGCAATTGTGAGGGTTTTAAGACAATGAAAGAAACGAGCACTCGAAGAAAGGAAACAAGAACCGGGTGTCTAGCAATGATAAGGTTGAGGTTAGTTGAGATGAACAGGTGGAGGTTGGATGAAGTAAAGCTCGAGCACAACCATTTATTCGATCATCAAAGGGCCCAAACTTCCAGGTCACACAAGAAGATGGAAACCGGGGCCAAAAGGAAGTTGGAGCCGGTTGTTGATGTGGAAGTACAAACTATCAAGTTGTACCGAACTCAAGCTGTTGATTCGGTTAGTTATGGAAGCTCAATGGACCAAGAAGTCAGCTACCATTTAGAGCCATTTAAGTGCTTGAAGTTCGGGACCAGCAGTGATCTTCTAGTGCTTCACGATTATTTTCGTCAGGCACAGCTTTCTGACCCAAACTTTTTCTATATTATGGATCTAAATGATGGCGGTTATGTGAGGAATGTCTTTTGGATTGATTCTAGGTCGAGGGCTGCCTATGGTTATTTTGGCGATGTGGTAGTGATCGACTCAACATGCCTGTCGAATAAGCACAATATTCCTCTATGTTCATTCAGCGGGTTGAATCACCACGGCAAAACCGTGTTATTCGGTTGCGGCTTTCTTGTTGATGAAACCATTGAGACGTACGTTTGGCTGATGAGAGCATGGCTTACGTGCATGTCAGGACGACCACCGCAAACTATAATCACACAGCAATGCCAGGCGTTGCGTAGTGCAGTATCCGAGGTATTCCCGAGAGCTCATCACCGGCTTTGCTTATCGCTTGTTATGCAAAGCATCCGAGAGAAGCTAGGCGAAGTCGGGGGATCGGAATTATTTCAAACATTTCTGAATAGAGCAGTGTACACCTTGCTCAAAGTAGAAGAGTTTGAACTGGCTTGGGAGGAGACAATTCGACATTTTGCCATCAGGGACGATGAATGGCTTCGAGCCTTGTATGAGGATCGAGAAAGATGGGTTCCCGCCTACTTGAAAGACTCCATTTTCAACGGAATTTTCAGCTTCCAACCCGGCGAGTACACAACACCGTTCTTCCACGGGGTTTTACACAATCAAATGACATGGAGTGAATTTTTCAGCGCGTACGAGCTGCTTCGACAAAGAGCGATTCAGAAGGAATCCCTCGATGATTTCGAGTCACGACAGTTCAGACCCACGATGAAGACAAGGTGCAGTTACGAGCTCCAGGCTTCCGATTTCTACACTAAAGATATATTCTTGAAGTTTCAAGATGAGGTAGTTCTAATGTCGAGTTGTTGCGGCGTAACGCAAGTTCAGGCGAACGGATCCCTCATCACGTACGTGGTGAAAGAGCGAAGCACCGAAGGAAACACACGGGAAGCGAAAAACTACGAAGTTGTGTACGACAAAGTCGGACCGGAAGTTCGCTGCATCTGCTGCTGCTTCAACTTCAAAGGATACTTATGCAGGCACGCCTTGACCGTCCTCCAATACAACGACGCGGAGGAAATCCCTTCTCAGTATCTCCTACAACGATGGAGTAAAGATGCAAAGCGCGTGTACGTTCCCGACTTCGGCTCGAACGCCATCGACACCAGCAATCCAGTGCAGTGGTACGAGCACCTGCACCGACTCGCCATGCGAGTCGTGACGGAAGGGACTGTGTCGTCGGAACATCAAATGGCTGCTTGGCAGGCGTTCAAGGAATCACTCAACAAGGTTCGTCTTGTTGCTGAGAAACCTCCTCTGTGAGTACTAAATAAGGTTGAAGATGAACTTTTATCATTGATCATTTACACAGAGTCAAAAGATGTTACTATATGTTACTGTACAGTGGAGAAATCTTGTTCCTAAGTGTATATAATTGATTTGATTGATTTTGAGGGTCCAATTGCAAAGCGGCTAAAAGTTTGGGGTAGAAGTGTAATATAAGAGAAGATTATTTTATAAATAAGGGGGGATATAAACGATGATTTGTTGATGTTTGTTGAAGCTGCCGGAGGCACGATTTGTCTGTGCGTCTCTACGTTTCGCCTGGGGATTGCTCCGCCGCGCCGCCACAACTTTGATGTGTTTCGTGCACGGTATTTACGTACTCGCACATTAGTATTCGTTTTGCTAATAGTGAATTCTCATGTACGATTGGAATTTGGATGTACATTTGTTCTCTGTTGGAAGTACAATTCTGGATTATAATTTAGTAATTTGTACGGTCAGAGTGATTTTCATTGTTGACTGTTGGTTCGTGAATGCAATTTCATGAGTATCATGTCATCAGGTGATTCTGATACCTCCGAACTAGATGGATTATGTTTCTTTCAATACAGATTTTCATTGTTGACTGTTGGTTCGTGAATGCAATTTTATGAGTATCATGTTTATCAGGTGATTCTGATACCTCTGAACTAGATGGATGATGTTTCTTTCAATACAGATTTGCAGAACCTACACGTTCAGATGCAGATGGATAATTGATGGAGAATGTGCTAGGGGAGGGTCTGTTGGTCAAATTGGTTATCCTTTGCTTGGTGAAAATCCTTGGCCTCAATCTCCTGGGGTGGAATTTGATCCTACGCCGATGTTTATTATTTCTGCAATTGTTATGCTAATCAGCACGGATTTGGAGCAAGTAATGCTTGATAGTTGGTATAGAGAGATCAAGGAGGAGTACAGAGGGAAGTTAAGCTACAACAATGCTGGCTTCAAGAAGAAAAGTGAAGCCAACAGGCTGCATGGCGCTGATTAAATTTAGGTTGAAAGAGAATACGAGGTGGACGAATATAAAAGAAGAGGTTAACGAGGTTGCAAAGTTTGACGAAATATAGGGGATTGTGGATTGCAAAATCAGGTTGTTTAGAGCAGTGCTCATTGAGGCAGAGGTTAACAAGGTTGCAATGTTTGACGATGGTGAATGTAGCAGCAAACTGAAGCTCAAAACAGGGGATTCTCAAGAAATGTTAACTTTTTTACAAGTACGCAGTTGAGTTATCCTAATTTCTTTGAGCAATGGATATTAATGAGAGTTTCCTATGGAATGTGTTCGCGACATTCTGCTTGTTGATACTACAGCTTCGATGGAAAATCCTGAGGTTCCTCTTGTGGCATTTACCGGTTTCGATCACCATACTCCGGCCAAACTGCAGAGTCATTTAAATGGCTCTTCAGAGCATGGCTAACCTACATGGTGGCGGGAGATGATCTTCAAACTGCCATTACCGGCCAATGTGAACCCATGCAAATTGCTAATACTGAGGCTTTCTCGCCAGGAATGATCACTTTCAAAGAGAATGAGAGAATGGCTTCACCTTGAAGAATATTTGGTTCTAACAGATTTCTCTTAAGCAGTGATTCTCCACCTATGATCTTGCTCTGCTTGAACTTGACCAACGAGAAACAATATCAGATGCAGAATCCAGAAATTCTGATTTGCAGCTTTCAAAACTATACACGAATGATATATTCAGGAGATTTAGGACGAAGTAGAGGGGATTTATAAATCGCATATTGAATTCTTGCAATACATATGGTGTCATCAAAATCCTACCGAAGTGCACTTACAAGGAATCAAGAACACCATGGCCTTCAGTTCGACCCTGGATCAAGCACAGGCAGTCTGCAATGTAGACTGATGGACTTATCTGTCTGCCTCGTGCGAAGAACTGAAAAATCACAACCAAACAAGATCCATGTAGGGCTTTGACTCCGTCGCCGTCAGTTACGCCTTAAACTTCATCTTCTCCGGCGGACGGTGGCGGCGGCGATGGCGCTCAACTGTGTGGTCTCAGAAATTAGGGTTTTAGGAGGATGTAGGTAGGGAAGTTAGGTGGCATATGTGGGGAGGTCCATGGAGCACAGCACCAGATAAATGTGCACCGTTGTTTATGTGGTGCCCCACCAGATTAACGGTCCAGATTCATCTGGTGCTGGATTAGGAGTAAGCTACTAACTCCCCCCATATAGTTTAATTATTATTTAATTTTTTATATATATTAATTGGTACTATTAGTTATTGACTAAAGATGTTTTTACTTAAGATAAGTAATTTAGGGCTAGCGTATTGACCCCCACAGAAAGAGTAATGCCACGTCGTACTCTTACATCACCCTCCAATTGGCCATGCAGCTTCTGACACCCTCATTGTCATGTGCGCTCCCCTTCTTCATCGCTGCAGCATTCATTCTCTAATAATTATTTATTTATTTATTTAATTATTTCAATTGCATGCATGTACATATTTTAAATTTGATGAAATTGGGGTCCCAATTACAGTGGCAGCAGAGAATTACAGTGCACGCTTTAGTCCCACACTCGAAAGTAAGTATACAGTAGGATTGATCATCATCATATTCACTTTGTGGAGATCTTGTAGCCTTAGCACCAATTTTTCTTATCATTTATTATTTCTTGGAATTGAGTATATTAATATATATATATATATATATTTGTGGCTTGGACAGTGGTGTGTCTTTTGGTAAATATTTTAAGGAGAAAAAATTGGATGACTGGCTTGGAAATAGGATGGGGTTTTCTTGAAGAGTGGAAAACCTTCTATTATGTGTGTACAGTGCAAATGTCTTGACGACATATGATGGGCTGCTGCTGCTACCAATCATCAGTGTATTTGCATCTGTCAATATTAAATGTGTATATATATATATTATAATATTATTTTCATTTATAATTAAATATAAAAATAATGCACACACACATGCACATATGTATGTAGTACGTACCCCACATATTTGTAAGTATTATAGAGGGAGAACGTGAAGGCAACCCTACCTTTCTCTCCCTCCACCTTCTTCTCTCTCTCTCTCTCTCTCTGCTAAAGCTGCATTTTTTCAATTACACATTAATTTGTTGGCTGAATTATACAGAGAAGTGGTCCTCCCTCCATTCCCCCTTTTCTTTTTTGTTTGATTGTTATATTCTTGCATTGGCTGTCTTTTGGATTTTATAAATACCATTATTGCCTTCTTTGCTTGCCTTCGTTGTTCCCATAAATTTGCATCAGTTCTTCTTCCTTTAGAGTCGTTTTGCCGTGTTCACTTTTCTTGAAATTCTTCTGATATTTCTACAAGTTGTGGTGCATATAATTTAGGGTTTGTGGTCATTATATGTATATGTATATACAATTGCTCAGTGGGTGAGGTAATTAATTAATCCCTTGTCATGCTTTTCCACAGCTTTCTTGAACTTCTTTATTTTGGGATAAATTAACAATTAATTTCAATAATTGATGGTGTTCATATTATCATCATCCCAAATGCTTCAGAAGTTCAAGAAAGCTGTGGGAAGACTTGGCAAAGTCTGGATTTTTGGTTGGCTATCAGTTTTCTTTTTACTTTATTTTTGCAGGTATTTGAAGCAACTTGTAACCAATGGATTCAAGAAACAGCAGCACCTTCCACTACATTTCCTTCCTTTTCATGGTTGATGTGAACATGGTAATTAATTTTATGACATAGTATTGTCCATTACATATTTAAAATTGCAAACTAATCTTTTACATAGGTTATTTACTTTTTCTGGGAATGTTTAATACTGCATATTCATCTTTAATTTAGCAATTATGCATGCTTTGTATAATATTAAGATTTTATTAAGGACATATGTATATTTTTATCTGAACTCAAGATTATCCTAAACTTCTTGAATCTGCTGCTTTAGTACTGTCTAATTTCCATAATTTAGGGGTTGATATTATACCTTTGGGACATGATTACTTATCAGAAGCTTTGCATATACACACACATATATATATATATATATATATATCTAGTATGAAGAAATTAAGTTGACCATAAATTAAATCTTGCATGCATATTAATTAGTTTACTTCTTCTTGGAGATATATGTCTGCATTTGTGTTGCTTGGGTTAAAAAGAATTCACTGAGAGGTAAAAAAAAGGGGCCATATAGGAAACACGTGAGCTTTCTAAGCCTCTGGTAATCTGATAAGTTGGAGACGGCTCGGTTCAAATATTCCTCAATTTTTTATTTTTTAGATTTTTTTTATGAGGTGAAATTCGAAAGTTTGAAAATATGACTTTATGGTCATGAATTCACCCCATAGTAGGTCATCCTTATGGACATTTCCTCAATTCTTGCAAGAAGATTGAGTGGTATGGGAACTTTGAACCATTGATCTTTGGAAGAGATGAAGAAAGTATACATACATACATATATATACACACACAAATATAACTGCTGAACAAGTGATAATTGGTGTATGTTAGTGTTGAAGAATGGCATAAATGGATTTATTTGGCCATGTGTATTATTATGTTCGAACAAGTGCTTTCTAAGCATTGCACGGTTCGTGTATTACTTTATCCGTCATATAAAAATATAATTATTTAGTTTGGACAGATCATGTATTTTTTTTCCTTTATATTAAAAAAATTACAAAAATAATTAAAAATAGTATTCCCCTCCATCTCAGTTATAATTTTTGTTTAAATTCTCTCATTTTTTTAGAAAAATGATTATATTTAAACTTTTTAAATTTAATTTTTTTAATTTTAATTATACTAATTAATTATCTTAATTTTAATATATAATTATTTTTATTGTATTATACTAATTATTTTTATTAATATATTTTTTATTATTTACTAATGGATGGAGTAAAAAGTAATACTTCATCTCCTCAGTCTTGTATATTTTGTCTCAATTATTGTAAATATAAGAATTTAGGTAAAATACACTAAATAATTCAAAAATACTACATGTTAGTAAACATATAATAAAAATAATTATAAATTAATATTAAAATAATTAAACTTGTATGGGACGAAAATAAAAAATATGGAGAAATTATATAAGAAGGAATGAGTATAAATTTTTACTGAAAAAATATATTCTTTAATAACAAACAAATAAAAAAATAAGCATAAATGTATATATATTTTTTATGATAGGGGAGTAAATATTATTTATTGAAATAGAGGTAATAAAATATTGACTTGATAACATTGTTAATTATAAATAGACAATGCATAACTTTATAAACAATGCATAAATTTAGAAACAACCAAAATTTTGAAAAAAGTTGACATCGTCTTTGCGGACAGAAAGAGTTATTCTTTTTCTTGAGAGTTAAATAGTAAAAAACGGGGTAGAAACGGTAAAGAAATAGGTCCCAATCATACATCATCAATTAAGCTCACTTCTTCTTTTACATTTTCTTCTTGTTGTTATAATTTTAGATTTTCATATATATATAAATATATGTGATGTCACGGTAACAAGAATTGGCAAGTTGTTTATGGCTGCATGAAGATTCAGCAAAGTATGGACATTTTTGGAGAAAGATAAAGGGGATGAGGTAACTTTTATTGCAAAAGTGTACAGATATGATCAGCTTTAAAGTCTCTGACTGAAGACGTGCACTTAGGGTTTATAAATAGAGTAGTAGTACGTACTTAGCTTAACTTCTAACAGCAGTATGTATACATATATATATAGATACTCAAAACAAAACCCACTATTTTATTTCTAAAATCAACACAGGATTCACTGTTGTTTTGAAGAAATTATTCCCTTGCTCCTCTTGTGGAATGGGAATCTGGAGCCTGGACAAGTCTGTTGATTGTCAGCTTCTTACATGAAAACACACACACGCATACACACATTCGTGTGTAAAAGTGAAAAGTGAAAAAGGGAAAATTGTTAGTTTTGGAAATTCCCCCCCACCTGCCTGCCTTCTTGGAATCCTCCCCAACTGCTGCTGCATGTGTGGTACTTTGCCCTTTGGCTGTTGTACCTTTCTCAGGACTCGTCGTCTTCGTCTCGTCCATGTTAAGGTGGTGTTTAATTTGTTTCTTTGTTTGTCTCTAAGGATTTTATTCTTGTTTTTAGGGTGGGAGTCCGGGAGAATATGCCCATAGTTTAGGGGGCATTTTGTAAATACAGCAAAAGTCTTCTGGTTCTGGGCGGTTGAAATTTGGGGATTTCCTCGTGTCGGGGATCAGTCTCAAAGAATTGAGAGCTGCGATGAATCTGTACGGGCTCGATTACACCTCCATCGACTTAGGGTTGGTGGAACCAGGCCTCGTTGATTATGTTTCTCCGTCGCGTGAGATGATCGTCGATAGAAGAAATAGAGATAGAGAGGTGGAGGATTTACTTAACCTCTCGAATTCACTGTTGCGGAGAAGCCAGCGGGAGATCAGTCCGCCGCAGCGTCGACACGACGGCACTTCGCCATTGCCGCTTGGAATGGATTGGAGCTCTCCTCCTGGTGTTTGGGTAAACTCGATTTCTCACTCTTTCTTTCTGGTAAATCACTTTTCTGATATTTTTCACACATATAGATGTTAAATTTTTTTCTGAAAAGTTCGTGAAATGATTTAATTGTTGCGCTAAAAGAATGTAGACAAGCTGATTAGCTAATGGAAGCATGTGAGCCTAGAACACTTGATTAGAACAAAGATCAAATAAGGATATATCTCAAGAACACGCTTTGTTTGTGTAGATAGAGTGATTGTACTGTGTAGATTTGTCTTATTTAAATTTTCTGCAATAAATCTGTGCCCATTATTATGGTTACGTTTAGATATGTTTTGGATGATGTTGGAGTTTTGGAATTTTTTCAGGGAATAATGAAAAAGTCAAGGAAATAGTTATATGACATGATATTTTCTTCAAAAAACTAACAGTATTGTGAAAAGTGATTTAGAAATGTATGTATATTTGTTGTGTTAAAGTTCACTTTAAGGACTAAGGTGGGTTATTGTATTGACTATCGAATGGTAAGCTGTACTAGTGATTGGCGCAAATGTTATATGAACAATTTCGTGTTTTAACTGTAGGACGGCCAAACACCGCGAGACCTCGTGATAATTTTTTGAAAAAGTTACAGTAGATAATGTCAAAAGTGTTTTTAAAAATACACATAAGCAGAGCCTTTATATTTGTTGTGTTAAAGTTCACTTTAAGAACTAAGGTGGGCTGTTGTATCAAGTGGTAAGCTGTAATAGCTAATGGTGCAACTGTTATATTAACAATTTTAAAATGTAGGACGGGCCAAACACCACCTGGCCTCATGATTTTCACACGGGATGGACTTATTGTGCTACGATACCTGGTTGGAGCTTCTTGTCCGAATCCGGAGGTTCAGAGCCTGGAGTGGTATGGAGTTTGTCCTTTTCATACATCTTGCTCTTGGCCCAAACATGTTTTTTGAGTTTCTCACCTCTCCAGCTTAACAACCCCACACCCTCTCCCGCAAAAATATGTACATATATATGTATGTACGTATAAGGACAAAAAATAAGAAATAAAAAAGGGTGATTCTGCGTAGCTGGACGAAGTATGAACAACTATCCTTGTTCAAGATTAATAAAATTAAAGGATTTTGGATGATGTAATCTATATATATATATATTTTGAACTAGATGTTTTTGGAGGATTTTCTGATATGCTAAGAAGAAGATGCGAGTCGATTCTTTGTTTATTCTAACATTTTTTGCGTCACAGTTTTACAGAGTCAAAGTAGGTTTGCAGTCTCCTGAAGGTGTTACCACCTCACGAGAAGTGCTGAGAAGGTTTAGTGATTTCTTGAAGTTGTCATCTGATGTAAGTCGGCAGATTTTCATCTATTCACGATAATTTGTAAATACTATTGAAGGATACTTAAGCATAAACCATTTATTTGTTCATCTATTTTTATTGGATTCGTTTTCATTTTATTTCCAGCTGCCACGGATTTAATTTTATACTCTCTGCAATGCTTCTTAATGATATTTTGACGAGTAATAAGATGGGCTATCACATTATTTATATTCTTTTGCAGCTCAAACAGTCCTACCGCAAGAAAAAGCTTCCCCCGCCTCCTTCAAAGGGCCTTTTCAAGTTGAAAAGTGAAACAGCTTTGGAGGAGGTTAGTATTTTCTTCAGCTTGTCTCTTCTTACTCATCTACTTGTGTGTGTAATAATTACTCGCGTTCGTCACAGCGTAGGAACTCTTTGGAGGACTGGATGACGAAAGTGCTCTCAGATATTGATCTCTCGAGAAGTGCTTCCGTAGCATGCTTTCTTGAATTAGAAGCTATTGCACGGTTATGTATGTATCTTCCTAATACACTATAAACATTTATATCTTTTGCTCTCGTCTTTTGCTTATTTCTAAAAAAGAAAAAAAAAAAAAAAACACTCAATTCCCAAATTATCCTTCAGCGTTTCGAGAGTCTAGCCACGACGTGCAAGATTTAAACTTGAGTTGCAATGGAAGTAGCCTTTCAACAGTAGCATCGATTCATGGTCCTAGGACTGAGGCATCTGAGATTGGCTCCGAGCAACATTTGAAGGGTGACAACTCAGAATTTGACAATGGACTACCGGACTCTCTTGATGATATCGGCCCAAATGAAGCATTGCACAAAACTGACAATGCTAACACATCTGAAGTATCCAGTGAAGGTACAAAATTAAAATCTTTGCAGAATTTGTTTGGTTGAAGAATGAACTTTATCTATAAGATTCACATAGGGGTTTCAATATGTTCTAGGACTCACAATGTTTCATAATTCACTTCTAGTTCTTCCCACAGGCAAGAACCAGTTTCAGACTGCCGTAGAACAGCAATTGAGGTCATCAAAAACCGATGTAGAAGATCTTGTAGCAAGATTAACCCAAGAGCGCGCCGTCACACAATATCTCACCATCAAGGTAGTAACATTCTGTATTTTAATTCACTAATTATTATTATCAAGATTTGACCCTCTTTGTCACCACTCACACATCTATAGCTTAATTTCTGCTTCGTAATCGTCATCCTAATCCGTCATGCTTAATTAACCATAAGTTTTATTCGCAGTAAACTTAATCATCATTCCTTGTTTCTGTTCGCTTACACTCAATTGGAATTGTGTCTCATATCGACTGGCCTTAAACGGGTAGATGCATTTCTTTGTTCAGTAGAAACATATATGTAGATTCCGACTACGAACTCTTTTACTTCTGCAAAATGTGCTAGAAGGAAAAATGGAGCTTCTTTAGAAAGAAGAAAGTATGAGAAGCATTTTAATAGCGAAGAAAGAAGCAGTCGAAGATATCTCTGTCTTTCCTCACACAACATAAACTGTAACGGATCGTTCAATGGCGTAATATACCAAACGATGAACTATTGTTACTGTGTCTTTGCAGATCAATGATTTGGAAACTGAACTTGAATCTACCAAGAAAAGTGTCGAAGAAAATCTGGAGCGCGCAATGTCTGCTGAGGAGGAAAGGATTACTCAAATGCAGTGTGATATGGAGGAACTCAGAAAAAGGTGCATAGAGATGGAATTAAGGTTGAAATCTAAACAGGTATGAGTCTCTTACCATACCAAATTTACCTGAGTTTTACTTTGGTAAAGTTCATTTAATATTTTCGGGAACAATGTCAGGACGAATATGATCATGATGGCACGACAACAACGGCTTCAGAAGAGATTGAATCTGTTAGAGAAGAGCTAAGGAATTTGCGGAAAAGCCATGAAGAAGCACAATTAAAATCGAAATCAGAAGTTGAATCACTGAGGTCGGAACTCGAAAAGGTGGCGAAAGAGAGGACAGAATTAGAGGTAGCATTTGCATTAGGAATTTCCTTAGTCTTTTAAGGAATTGCCGTGAAAGTTTTGGAATTTTTTTATACTATTTATCGAGTATTTTTTCTTTAAAAAAAATCACATCAAATAATCTTTTACTTAAAAGAACATTACATTTAATGTTTTATTTTTAAAATTTTTCAAAATTCTAAAATTTATATGAAAGAGAGCCTAAAGTCTCGGTTTCAGCTATAAAGCCATTCTGAATAGAATCATCCTGTAGATGAGGTTCATGCATGTTTGGAAAAAAAAACGCTAGGTGGATTGAAAAGCAATTAGTCTAGGCTCTCTTTGCATGGAGGCTTTTTAAGCTTTGAAAATTTTTAAAATAATAATTTATTTATATGCTAAAACTTAAAAAGTGTCTATAAATAGAGCTATAGTCTTAAAGAATTCTTGCGATTAAAGCGTGCATTGTATCTTACTTACCTTGGATTTAAAAAAGCTCTTAATTTTGACGCCATTCTTTGTTTGTAGGCAATGCTACGAAAGGAAAGAGCAGAAAGGGAGCATGTAAATGATGCCCATACAAAGCTGCTGCACGAATGTAAGTTGCTTCGTAGTCGACTTGAAGACGAAGAATTTGCCGTGAGCAACCAAGAAAGTAGTAACCCGAAAATAGATGTAGATGTTCACACTTCATTCGAGAACCAAATCGACCCATCTTGCTGAGGTACATAACTCCGATTCATTCATTTGCAATTAAGTTTCGACATTCAATAATTGCCAGTTCATTGCATCAAACAGGGTCAGAAGCTCCTCGCCGCAGCCCAAGTCACGAGTCAGAACAACAAGAATACAAACACACAATCAGTTCAAAATATTGCCTATTGACGTCAATCTAGAAAACAAGCATATTCTCTAATGCTATCAAACCATCGATCGAATCATCTCCGGGCAGCTGAAAGAATAATGCAAAAACAGATATATACAAATGAACGTAGCACACTATCCTAAAGCTACTATTGCTCGTGTTCAACTCATTCAGCTTAGCTCTTACTCAAAAATGTACGAGCAAACCACCAATATAACCTTCAATGATTATCCAAAATTTACGAGTTACCGTAGAGCATAGAAACTGTAGATGCAATTTCACAACGCCAAAAAAAAAAAAATACCAATTATTTATAGGTACATAAACATATATATATATATCATCATCATCAAATATCCAAAGTATAGTGTAGAAACAAAGTACCTGTGAAGCTCTAATTTTCGCCGCCTCCGAACATACCCATCATATCCTTGGCAGAGCCGCCCATATGCTTCATCAAATTCTGCAAGCCGCCCATGCCGCCAATCTGCTTGAGCATCTGCGGCGGGAGGACTTTACTCATGTGTTGTGCGTTCATGTTTCGCGACAATGCGCTCATTTCTCCCTTCTTTGGGATCTTGAGCCCCTTCATCTTGCTCCAGATCTTCGCCAGCCGCTTGTATTCTTCCAGCATGTCCATTACGTCCCTCACTGGTCGGCCGCACCCTCTAGCTATTCGCATTATCCGGGATTCATTCATGAGTTTGGGATTAGAACTGTCCAACTCTGCAGAATTATTTGTCGGCACGTTTGAATAATGTTGGTTTTAGTTAGTTATGTTTTGGATTGATAAAAAATGCAAGCAGTGTGTGTGTATATATATATATATATGTGTATGTACATATGACTTGCCTTCGTCGGTCATTGAGTCCATCATTGTCATGTATCTTTTAATCTTTGCCTGGCTTTCCTTCTCGTGGCCTTTGGGCATCAACTCTTGGCTAAATCCCGGAAGCATTGAAAATACCTGCAAATGTAGAGTTCGTGTAGGTAATCTTCAAACAAATGCATACCAGGGTAATGAATCGAAAGAGAAACTGTAGATGTCGAAGTTTTTCGTTAAGGTCAAATGTCAAAACAAAATTGTCAAGAACCTGAGTGAAAAGGAAATTCCGTGCCAATTGAATATAGATCACAACATGAATTACATGAAGGATGAACTAGGAAAGTTAACAACAATTATATACCTGACCAATGGGACCCATCTTGAGTATGTTCTGAAATTGCTCGTACATAATCCTCAAAGTAAAGTTGCCTTCTGAAAGCTTCTGGAGAAGCTCGGGCTGTTGATCCTTCGGAACAACTTCATGAATCTTATCCATGAATCCAGACAAGTCACCCATACCTATAGAAAGAGAAAACTTAGAATATTACTTCATTAAAAAACCATAAGCATCTTGATGGCGATTAGGTTAATGGATGCCGACCTAAAAGACGGCTGACAAATGGCTTCACATCGAATACTTCAAACTCATCCATATGTTCACCAGTTCCAATAAAAATAACTGGACTTTTTGTCGCTGCAACTCTGCAAATGTAGCACAAGGATCAGAGAATTTTCATTTTTCATAGATAATATAAAACTAGCAACTAAGGAACACACAACAAACAAGATATAAAGCATTTCTAATTGAAAATAATAACTTCGCAGATATTCTGCCCATACATTATTAAGCAATTTCAAATAGAAACTTATACTAATGGTGCCACATATATAGCTTATGCGGTTTTTTTATCGAATCTATTCAAAGTCCACGGCATAGCATCAAAAAGTTAGCAGTTCTGTTGCAAAGGGTGTATAGATTAACCATAAAAACCCAAACACAAACCGCAAAACAAACACACTTGAAGGGAACTTAACTTCCGAGTAGAAAGGCATTACCACGAAAAAAAGTTTGAGATGTTACGTACATAACGCTTATATTTTAATAGTATATAAATATTCAACAAGATTGTTTGACTTACGCACTAAGTGCACCACCTCCCTTTGCATGCCCATCCATCTTAGTGACAATCACAGCTCCGACTGCAACACTTTGCTTGAATGCTTGTGCTTGATCAAAAGCAGCTTGACCGATACTGCTATCCATGACAAATATGACAAGATCTGGTTTCTGCAATTTGAGAGAAATGGAACATTTGACGTTCGGGCAAAATGCTAAACATATGAAAGAAATAGGAGAAACAAAGCAAGATAAAAATTACCGTTGCTTCAGAAACTTGACGCATCTCCTCAAATAGAGCAGCTTCCTGTTTGTGACGTCCGCTGGTATCGACAATTATGAGATCACAATTTTCCTTCTTAAATCTTTCAACACCTTCAACTGCAATTCTCACAGGATCCGATTCGGTGTAACTGTTACAGATATATCAATTTAGTTATTCAGTTGGCTAGATGCATTAAATAGAACTAATAATGCTCACTTGCAGAGGTCAGCAGAGGACAGACCGACAGAAACATATATTCATTTGGATCAGATTTCTACCACAAAACGAAATAATAACTACTGCCGAGGTGGTAAGTTCTAGATAAAGTAAAAAAAAGCTATATATTTGATAATATTCTCTAGTGCAAAGCCACACTATTCAGGAAACAATACTTCTTTTGGGGCATTTAATAATCCATACGGATCGAGAAATGCTCTCAAAATAACCATCAAAAAATTGAAAGCAAATAAGCAAAAACCAAACAAATTTTACCTTTAATCCACTGATATTATAAAACAACAAACAAGATAAACGTATGGCAACCCAAGTATCCACTTTCCGGAGTTAGCACACAGAAAAACCCCTTTTCCCAATTAACCAAGCAACAAAAGAACAAATCCATTCTACGTCTCTAGCAGGGATGCTGCCCCATTATCATTGCTTTTACAGAACTTATAGACCCGAAGAAGAGTCTACACCAACAAAAAATAAAAAATACCTTCCGTAAAAAGGAATTTTAGCTTTAGTGGCATTTTGCTTCAACTGATCAAAGGCGCCAGCTCTGAATGTATCAGCACAAACCAATGCAGGCTTCCAACCCTTCTTTTGATGGTAATATGCATATTTTGTACATGTTGTTGTTTTTCCGGATCCTGTAACGAAAAAAATCAAGACATCAAAAGTTTTCTCATAAAGACATTAAAGAAGCCTATCGTTATTAAGTAAGATTGCGAACTACAGGGTCGATACAGCACAATATAGCAATCATGTGAAAGAATAATATCAACTAGTTAGCATACACTCGCTCGTCATAACAACAAACCTTGAAGACCGACAAACATTACAACACTAGTTTTCCCTTTCTTTGGGGTGAATGAAGGCTTCCCGGGATCCAATATCTTGCACAGCTCGTTAAAAATCGCCTGGCACAGAAATTGGACTTATTTGAGTCAAATGCGACGTATACTTAAATAAGTTTTCAGAATCGAAAGATTTCTACATTGCTTAAAACTTAGAAATGATAACATCAACTTCATTACAAAATCAAAATAAGGACCAGTAAAATCCTGATCGGATCAAATTCATTCCGGTGAGTTATTTATGTGTAACAGGAAACACTAACCACATGCAACGCAATTTGACGACAATATATCCAAGTGTAAGGATTCCAGATATCGAATTAATGGAGTTTCAGCAGATATTAGGAAACAACTGAAAAATGAAAGCAACTTATACATCAATAGCTTCGTACTAATTTCGATCTCGAATTAAAATTTGGCCACGCTATAATTTTATCTTATTTCTACAAAATCAAGTAAGCAATACAGAATACCTACATAAAGATAATTGAATCTCCCAAATCAGGAAATCCCCAAACGCCCCCAATTTCAAAAACACAAATCAAGATTCCGAAATGATAGTTCAATCATATTCAAATCTAGCAATCAATGGTGAATCATTTCCTCCGCCCACCTGTTGAATTATTTTACGCTTATTATGCCCCGCGGCGAGATCATCGAGATTGACTATCTTCTTGATATTTGTCTGCATCTCGCGAACGAGCTTGAACTGCACGTCGGATTGGAGAAGCGCGCGGGTAATCTCGTTGAGGCAATCACTGAGCACCTTCTCGTCGATAATCGTCGCATTGCTCATCTGCTGAATAGCACGAGAAATGCTTCCACCTAGCTGTGCGAGCACCATCTTCGCCGATTATCTGTAATCGCCGCCGCCGATCGGCCTGAATTGGAATTAGGGTTTGGGAATGGGAATTCGTCGTTGGGTTAGATAATGCTCGCCGGTCGACGGAATTACGTTTGACGAGACGAGACACGCCTTTCTTACAAATGTATCCAACCAAAACGACGTCGTAGTCAACAGTGCTCAAAATGTATGGGCCTCTTGAATGACTAGCCCAATTTTGCTCTAGGGCCCAAAATTTTTAAAAATTATTATGGACTTATTGTTAATTATTAGAAATATAAAATGATATTAAAATATTAAAAATTACTCTATTTGTCCCAAATAAGGTACAATATTTGTTTTTGCACGAATTTTTAGGTGGATAGTATTAAGTAGGATGGAGAGAGAAATATATATTTTGGATAAAGTGTGGGGTAGCGTATAATTAATTATTTCCTATTTTGGAAATGTTCCAAGTGCTTGGACATACAAATAGAAAATATTGTAGGGTGTTTGGGAAGATGGAGTATTACTTTTAAATATTTTATGAAAAATAAAATTATTTTTTTGTTGATATAAACATTTAAAGCAAATACACATTTTTTTGAATTACTTCTTTATTATATAACATAATTGTATTAAAACATTTGCGATTTGTTTCTTTTAATTTTTTTTTCCCACTAATTTTATTTACAACTTAATTAGCTTACGCTAACAAACTAACTTACTTAACTTTAACAAATAATCACTATTTTTTTTATGTATTCAACTATTGTTCTAATGCATAATAAAATATGACAAATCAACAGTATAAAAGTAAATTTTTCGTAAAAAAAAATTAAATAAATAAATATATATAGTGAATATTGACTTTATTTTGTAAAATAATGTAATATATTATATATGTTAAAAATCATATCAAACGGTACTATGTTTATGAATAAAACCTCAACCCTTGTAACTATTTCATATCTTCCCCCTCACCTGTTGTATATGCTTTAAGTTCATAATTACATGCTATATAAGAACATCTCATTTGTTGATAAAGTATATTGATAGTCATAAGTCCCATGATTTAAGTATTTATATTATTTGAGATATTTTTATTGATTTTGATTAGATTTTACCTGATTTGATTTGGGTATATATTATTTATTTATGATTTACAGGAAAAATAAAATAAAATAGTTATAATTAAGGAGAAAAAAGAACAAAAAAGTCCAAAACAAATTAGGGCAAATATAAAGAAAGAAAGAAGGAAGATGCGCGACTTATGTCACTTGCCAAGGAGAACACCGTGCAGAACAGTCACAAGGAGAAACCGTGCAAGAGCAAGAAGGAGAAAGATTCTTCCAAGAAGATTTCGAGTTCTATCCTTAGCAACGTCATTCTCAGCGATGTTTCTCTTTGCTTCATTTTCCTTTGTTCTTCCTCTTATGATTAGCGAGTAATTTACGATAATTTTATTGGATTTGATCATTCCTATACTAGAAAAATAAACTACTCTTTAATCATAAGAGAAAGAACAAAGGAAAAAAAAAAAAAGCAAAGAGAAACATAGAATAATTTTGGTAAGGATAGATCTCGGAATCCTATTGAAAGAATCTTTTTTCTTCTTGTCCGTTCTGCACGATGCATAAGTCGCCGCGCCTCCTTCTCTTGGACCTTTTTGTTATTTTTTTCCACTAATTATATCAATTTTATTATTTTTCTCTTGCATATTATAAATAAATAATATATACTGAAATCTAATCAAAACCAACCAAATATTGCAACGCATGCGATTTATGACTATCATATATTTTTAGTTTTGTTTTGTTTGTGAAAACACATTAACACCTATTATTGTACCATACAACTATTACAATTTACAATTTAAAATTTTATGGTCAAAATTCAAACCCAAACGACCAAAATATAAAAACTTAAAAATCACTTTAAAAAATAAATGGAAGATGCAAAAGCATAAAAAGCCATCCCAGGTCAGAAATAGAAGCAAGCAATAATTCCTTTGTATGCATAAACGTCTCAAATGTGAACTTCGTTCGAACTCAGCCCCAAACCAAATGACATGAGCATGTTTCTTACACCGTACATATATTTTATATATATATATATATATATAGTAGTATGGAACATTTTGCCAAACAACAAATTACATACTTGCTATTAGAAGACATCCGGATTGAATCGTCCAGGGATCGAATTGTTCTGTTGCGCCTGGCGCAAATGCATCATCAATGCGTAGTTGTTCACCTGCAGGAACGTTCCGTTGATGAAGCCATTATTTTAACAGAATAATTTAGCAAAGCATGATACCGAGCAATTCGTAGAAGTAACTTGACTTCTTATTATTTCTAAAAAATTTCAAAAACTCTGTCTAAGTTTGTGTACTAACCTCGAGAGTTCGCAGTTGCTCCTGGTACTGAGCCACCACCTGCTTCAGTTGCTGGACCTCTTTGTCTTTCTCGTCATACTCCTTTTGGCGTTCGTGCTGGATGGCAACTGCGCGTTTAAGAATGGAATTCTCCCGGAGAAGCGCCTCAATTTGTTCTTTCAGCATCAGATTTTCCTATAATGAAAAAAATAAATTGCTACTTCATTATTCACCATGGAAACAAATCGATTTGTGGGCGTAGTGCGAAAAGCATTACAATGTTCTATTTTCGGACAAAAGATTTCAATAGCACAAATTTCATCAGCATATGCTTAAATATATTATGTCTTGGACAACTACCTAATCTTCTATTTCGATATATAGTCCAAGATTCGATCTACAACTTTTATTAGGTTTGAGATAATATAAGAAGCAGAATTACAGATCCTTACCTTGTGGAAATTTTGCGCTGCCTCAGCACTAGCCCGAGAACTTATGGTTCTCTCGAGGCTCTCCAAGAAATTAGCTGCTCGGCATCTTGCATCATCAATGGTGGTGGCACTCATCATCTCATTCACGAATAAGTTCACCCATTCTGCGCCATCTTCCGGCAAGTTGTTCTGGACGTGAGGCTCTTGCATAGGCATTGCCCCCTCATTAGGAGGTGTTTCACCTGCAAGTGAAGTGGCATCATCACATCACAGTGCATTTGCTATAATGTCAAAACAAAAACTCAACCTGAAACCTGTAAAGGATTCGTTACTAACAGAAACAGTGTTTGAGACATCTGCTGTCACTTCACAATAAACCAAATTACTTTGTGTGCAGCCGAACACATAAATAGGATAAAGAAAAGAAAAAAAAAGTTGTTTTCTAGATCTCCAATTAATCATATCATCCATGTTATGATTCCCAGCACCCTTCTACTTATATAGTTACTTTTACACAAGCAAATCGGTAACATCTCCGACTAAAGCATAATAAAGTTCCCAGTTCAGATTTGTTTATTTGGATGTCAATTGGAGAGTTTCATACGGATATCTAATATAGATCAGTGGAAACAAAATCAGCTGATTAAAAAAAAAAAAGGCATATCTATTAAACACTGAAACAGCATTTGCAGGCTGCCTTACCTGGTTGAAGACCGATATGGGGGAGACATGTAAGGAAAAGTCAGAGGCAACAAAAAGAAGATATGAAAAAACAGGAAGGCAGCTGCTATGATGTCAAGAAACTTAACAAGAAATATAAAATTAAAACTTTCCATAACCTTATTTCATTTTAAAAACAATGTAAGCCCGAATTAATCCTAATTACGATCGAATTTGATTTTAAAAACAATGTAAGCCCAAATTAATCCTAATTAAGATCGAACCTAGTGCCACTTACCATGGCGCAAAGGCTGCGCCATTACGTTCGCCAGCTTGCCATTTACAAATGTGTTATAACATAAAGATAGAATAACATGCAAAGCTTGAAACCAAACGTGGAAACCGAAGTATATTGCCACGTGCCCTTGCTTTGATCATAAATAAAAAGACAAACCTTGATTGACGGTTACGTTTCCTTCAGTGGGGCCCACATTGTCATTAGAATATCCGATATGAAGTTTGTTGAGGTTTTGAATTGCCAAATCAAGATCATGGCCAGATTCTTCCATAGCTTTCTCTAGAAGCTGGAAAATAATGGTGGGATCAATAAGTGGATAAGATCTTACAAAGAAACAGTAAGAGATATAAATGTTTAACTACAACATGAGTAAATAACTAATCACCTGGAGTTAAAATTACAATCATTAATGTTCTAAATCTGTATCTATTCAACTACTCATCTATCGAAAATCGGGGAGATTCGTCTGTATAAGGATTCAAACTGGCATCACTATCCATCAAAGAATTTGGCGTATATGGAAACCCCTCAATGTATAAACTAAGTCAATTAGAACATAAGGTTGTTATTAGAAAATACCAGAAACAAACAGTACTGCATTTAAACAATTAAATAGGCATTTCCAATCAAACAAGATACGGGAGTTCATCTGTAAGATACATTGTTTCGAAGCAATGGATAACGGAAGTTTGTCCATAATTAAGGCCAAAAGTTCTTATCCTAAAACCCTTAGGCGAAATAAGGCGAAATTACCTACGCTTTAATCGGATCTAACAAACCCTAGTCCACAGAAAATCCCTAAACCCTGCTCGAAAATTTCTAAATAAAATGTTTAGAATTCACCTGAACATCAAGATCAGGAAACAATCCCCTGAGATGAGCAATCGGACTCGTTTGAACAGGCGGCGAGTAGGTAAACCTGACCGGCGACGTAGATGATGAGCACCGAAGCCTCTTTAGCGCCGGCGGCGATGCAGATGCAGGCGATGACGCCGATGGGTCGATTTCCTCAAAGAACGACCTCTTGCCGCAGAGAATTGCAGACATGATAATGATTTACAAAACAAAACAAAACGAAAACCAAATTAACCGATTCAACTAAAACCCTAACTTACACCTCCGATTGCACTTCGCTCGTGAAATTCAAACCAACAATAAACAAATAAATAAATATAAAAATAAAAGCGGGTAATTAGAGATTCTAGGGTTAATTCGAGACCCCAATCTTCCCCCAACGCATCTAGTTCTTCGTTTGCTTTCTTGGGGAGAACAGCTTTGGATTGCGGTGTAAGAGGTTAGGGTATTTATAGCGGTGAAGAATGGGCGGCGATTGGTATATTCACTCGTTGCTCACGCGACTTACAAGGCGCGTGGCGTTCAGTTTCCCAACTATACAATTGCGTGCAATTCACTGCTTAAGTGCTTAAAATCGTTTTTCAAGAGTCGCTATTGTCGGACTATAAAGGTTCATTTGGATGGCAAATTTGGTTTAAAAATTAATATAAATAAAATTACTTCATCCTAAAATACCGTATAACTAAATTATATTGGCATATACCGTATATTTAAATTATTCGCATCTTCACCGTGTCGGTAGACTATTAAATTCAACCGAAAAATAATTCGACTATTAGATTCGGCCGAGACGTTTACCCAAAACACACCAGAAAAATGGTGACTATTTGATGTATTGTCAGGACAATGCTATTAATTAACTATCCTTGGAAAGAGCCAAATTTCATTGCCAATTGAATTGTGCTGTGCTTTAGAGTGTTATTACAGTACATTCTTCTAAACATCTTCAACAACAACAATACTATAGCCGGGCTAACTTCTATACTCCGTCTTGCGAGGGCTCTGTAATCCCGGGTCCTTGATCAAGACGGTACCCGACCGGGCTTTACACTTCATCGAAAACTCGTGAACGGCGTCTTGAATTCCGACCAATGCAACAAGGAATTCAGCGGCATCCGTCTGGCTCAGCACCTTCCTCACCGCCAACTCCAGCGCCTTCATCCTGCGCCATTCATTAACAGACGACGTTAAGATCGATTACTAAAAGCTCAGGGAGCGCCAGTCAATCGATGAACTAACCTAAGGTTTTGGGCTTTAACGATGACGCCGTGTATTTTCTTGTACTCGGACATGACCTGGGCGAGAGGGGGGGCGACGACAACGTCGTCGCTTTTCCGAGGACCGAACGGCAGGTTAAGGATACAATTGGACTGGATCTCAGTCATCTCCTCGTCGATCACGGCTTCTTCGATTCGGATATCGTTGATCAGCTGGGAGAGGGTGAGTTCGATCCCGACAGGGTCCCACAGAAAGTGGAACAACGAGCGGAGGAGTTCGAGTACGGTGGACGGCCGCCAGTCTCCGAGCCAAGACACGGCCGCCAGTTCATGGGGTGGAATCCACTTGGGCATTAGAATTTGGGCCACATCGGCCATCCTCGTCGGGGCCATTGCCCGGCTGTAATGAGCCTGGAATTGTCCGAGCTGTTCGTCGATGAGTTTCTGAATTGCCCATCTCGATTTCAGCTGTTTCTTGAGCCTTGCTGCTCCTGCTCTCTGCCCCTGCTTCCATGACCCATATTTTCCTCCTGATTGTACAGGTAGAAGAAGGGTGATTCTTGCAGACTCCATAACAACCCAACTCCCAATCGAATCCATGAAATCGGTAGGATTCGTCGGGGAGTCGGGATTGCTTGGAGCCCACAAGAATCACGCTCGATGAATGAAATACAAATTGTTAGTATTGCCGATATGACAAAACTTAAAGTCTAAAATCTGAAAAGTAGATGAAACTCAAGATTCGTGCACCAAGAACAGATAATCCCTTTGTCGAAAATTAATTTTTTAAGAAAGGAGGAACAGTTTTTTACTTGGTCTTCTGGGATCTCGTCGGTGGAGTGAGATACAGGAGACTTGCTTTGCAATGGACTCAATATCTATGAATGCTCGGCCGCTGATTCTCGAATCCAGTCCATCCTCTTCATCCTCGTCGTCGATGGCTTCTTGAACATGTCTCCTGCAAAACAAAAACAAACCAAATCACGCTATCTATCTAGCTGAAAGGATGGGCGTTTCATAATCGAGGGATCGGATAGATTTTCGATGTGTTTACAGCAGCGGTTGAGATGCAGCTCTCCTCATTCTTCTTTCCTGAGAATTGTGAAGGGAGGAGCTGTTATGGTTGAAGGAAAGAAATTAGACTCTTGGACGAAACTGAATCTTTAATCAACTGAAGAAGTTATAAAGAGGAGCTTACTTGGGGCCTGGGGGGTCCCGGGATCTGTAGTCCAAGGGCCTCCCTGCTAATTGAGCTTACAAGTTGCATATATACCGTACTTATCATTCTATGCAAGCTATTAAATACTCGAATCGACAAAACCCGACGCCATAAAACAGTCATTCGAAGAAATAACCCATTCATTAATCGGAGTAAAGGTTTGCAGTATGTTCGCTATACAATCGGACCAGCTAAATACATTTTTATACACTAGAAGCATCAGCAGCAAGATAGCATTCAGAAAGATCGTAAAGTAGAGTTATATAGTCGTCAAATAGCATGCTGTCATAATTTACCACGTGTTATAACCCATAGAGGAATGAGATATTTCGTGAGAAAGATGAACCTGTGCATAGCCGAGAATTTGGTGTCTACGGGCCTTCTTTGAAGAGAATATTTGCAACGTTAGGCGGTAGCCACACCGAGTTGTTTTGGCCATCTTGGTTGGTTCCATCAGTCTGCTTCTGAGTAGTCTTTTTTCGGAGTCGGGCACCTATGTTTCTCCCAACAAAGATGCCGAGCTTTGTGGCTGTAAATATTCCGAGTGTGATTACTAGTGGCCGCACTGCCCAGTGAAAATCCTCGGCGTGTTGGTACTTCTCAACAATGCTAGGGCATGTATCAAAAGACACCCGGTCAACTTCCTCGGGATTAGCCAAGAAGCATTTGGGTTCATCTCCAAGAACAAATCTTCCCGGGAATGTAACTTCAAGACATCCATTGGGAAGAATTTGTGAGATTCTCCCACTGGCCCAAGACCCTCCTCTTTTATGGGGCCACGGAAATTGGGGGGTCGTGATATTAGCCTTCAACCTCACAAAATGCCCGACCAGAAACGGTTCCACAACTTTAAGCTCGGAGGAATGTCCCTTCCAGAGAGTTTCCAGCCCTAAAAAACCAACAGCAACGCTTCCATCACGTTGTATGGAGTGAAGAATTCCGAGAGTCGAATGGTTGCTATTTTCTTTAGTCGAGCGAACCCAATCCCCCATTGCGAAACCAGCAGTGACCCTCTGTAGCGCAGAAATGTTTACTCTGAGCTGATTGTGCATGCCGGGGATTTGGACGACAGCAAAACCATCCCGATCACTATCCTTCTCCAGTCCAACCACAACTCCTTCAGTTTCAGCTAGCCATTGAGGTTTAAAGGTGTTTAGACCCTTTCTTGGTCGAGCTGTATCACCAACTTGAAGATGATCTTTCAAGAGAAACCATTTGCTATAGCCGCTGCAATGCAATTTATCGGGATAGATACTGCCCCCCTCACCTCTCCATGACCCGTCACTGTCAAGAGCATTCCTTGAGCTGCAAGTTCGGGATTTAGTTTGAGACAAAAAAGAAATGAGATTAGATAACTATGTTATATGATCATTGAAAGGGAAATATAGTAGCAGCCACAAAACAAGAGTTGCTCTAGAGAAAATGAACCTTTCAAATGCTTGTAAAATGTCTGACATCAGTGGTCGGTTGCGAAAATCATACTCAAAGCAGCCCTTGAGAACATGTTCTAAAGCAGGAGGAAGACCACTTGGTACTTGTGGCTTTTCTTTACATATAACAACCAAGTGATGTATCTCGTCAGCAGATTTTGCAAACCAGGGTGGGGTTCCGGTCAGCAATTCAATCATGCTGCAAGCAAAACCCCAGGAATCGGTCTCGTAGGATATTGGACCTCTTGTTCTAGGTTGCCATTGTTCGGGTGCAATGTAGTTGGGGGTTCCAGACCTACTTGCCAAATCCAAATCGCGCCATGGAACCCCAAGAAGCAAGTATGGAATCCCAAAGTCTCCAAGGATAGCATGATCATTTTCATCAAGAAGGAAATTAGTTGGCTTGAGGTTCAGTATCAGGTGACCGATTTGGTGAAGAAATTGGATTCCTTTTGCTAGCTCAATGCCGTACCTGAAAGGGTTTTCATTTCGGGTTCATTAGTAAGCATCTTGAAACTTTGAAGTTTACACATAAAAGTAATATTATTATTATGATTATGATGCCCATTACCTTAGTACATCAGCTAGTTGAAGCTTTCCTCCTTGCAGACGCCCTATTCGATCACCTACCGAACCCTCATAATATCTCATAACAATGGAGATCTATAGGAAAGGCAAGGTGCCAACTTAATATTTTCATTGTGAAAATTATAGAACACAAATTTAATTGGTACATAATCCAAAGATTAACCTGGCCAGATATTACAGAGATACCATGCAACCAACAAACACCTTGCAATTGTTGTGACTTCAATTTTTTCCATAATTCTTCGAACTTATGAAGAAACTCATTTATGCGATCCTCTGCTGTTGGATGCAGCATCTTGACAGCAACTTCATGATACTCATCAAAGTCGGAGGCTGACTGATGATGTGTGGCTACCCAAACATCACCAAAGAGTCCATGACCAATTCTGTATTTGAGCTTCAGAGATGCAGGATCTATGTACCAATTCGGAAGGGCAGGAGAGGCATCAACAGTTATTAATTGGTCAGGATCTCCTTCATACAGCTCATAATCAAAAGGAATTTCAGGTGAGGAAGTCTCAATCTGCTCTGCCATGCTGTTCTCTGGAGATTTAAATTATCAAACAAGTTTAACAATTTATTTTTATTTTTTTCCTTTTTGGGTATATGCCCAAATAGAGATTCCTCACTCGTGAAACAGAAAAGTGACCAAGCAATTAGTATAGATTGTTCATTGCAAATACACAAACATAAAAAAAGTCTCTACAGCTTTCAAGTAGCACATGATCGGATGATCCATAACAATCCATATGTAATACTGAAATAAGTTAGAACATTATTTTCATTACGAATTAGAAAGAAAAATGTTCCTCAAGAACCAACCTTATACTTGATTTCTTCTCTCATTCCAAGAACATGATATAGATAAAGGAAATAAGTCGAACCTTTTTTCTTCTTTTTTTTTTTAATTAAAAGAGTTCAAGAAAACATTTCTTAATCCTCAAAATCGCTATCCTCTGAATTCTGAAATATTTTCCTATAAGGAGATGAAAACAGTGTAGGAGTCATAGCCTAAAAACAGATAATAGGAAAGAAATTTAGACAAAGCAAAATCATTGCCAAATCTCAAGGACCTTAAACTCTTACTAGTTTCCTTATTCCAATACAAAATTATGAAAAAAAAATTAAAAAAAAAAAATCAGGAGATAAATTACAAATCTAAAACCTAACCGCCATCGCTATAGCAAGTCGATGCTTAATTTCAATTTCACGCAGAAAAACACCATCAAATTACATGAACTTTTCTTCAACTAAAATCACCAAGTTGACGCAAACATAAGCAACTCGACGCGTGCAAGTATTTCCAAATCCAAATCAATTTCAAACTAACAATCGCTGAATCTGAAGCTTGCATCGTACAACAACAATAATTAATCAAGTAATTGCAAACACCACAAAAACTATTCCAGAACAAAAAAAAAAAGCACAAAACGACATACCAGCAGGGTAGAGGAGAGAAGGGATAACAAGGCACAGCTAGCCAGCTAGGGGCAGAGAGATAGATACAAGGACGATGCTGAAGCAGAAGGTCGCAGTCGTGGAGGCGTGGCCGTCAAGTGAAGTTCGCCTCCCCAGCGGAGGAGTGACCACTCAATAATAATTTCCCCAAAGTGGTTTACTACTGAAATTTTCTGATTTATAGCGTCACATCTAAAAAATAATAATAATAATAATAACAATACTGTATTATAACATCATCTAGGGTGGCCAGAGTGGTTGTTTTGGTTGAGATTGGGAAAATTTGATTTTGATTTGATACTAAAATTAAAATAATGTTTGATAAGATATTTTGTGAGAAAAAAATTAAGTATTTGTTTTGGAAACATAAAGTTTAAATAGTAAAATTTGAGAAATTTTGTGTAAATAAACATACTTATTTTCAAATTGAATTTTCGATTATATTAAATTTGATTAGAATATAAATAAATACTTCATCCGTCTCACTGTCTATTTAACATTACAAATATCCTTACAACTTACAATATATTATACAAATGTCATTACCATTGTATCACACTTACTAACGAGGTTATTTTAGTCATTTCTATTTTATTCCTACTATATCCCAATATAATATCAATATTCCTAAAACTACGTGAAAAAAAGCAAATGAATATTTACTTTTGGAACGAAAGGAGTATAAACATTGTATATTTGGTATTCCTTCAGCTTTATTTTGATTTTATATAATTTTGTGTTAATCAAATTTGATTAAATTAAATATATTTATATATTCTTAAATTTATATTTTAACTGCTTTATTTTGTAAAATGATTTGAAATAATAAATTGTATAACTAATATAAAAATAATAAATGTATAATATTTTTTCAATCGTTTGAATGTACTTTTAGTTGTAGAGTAAATTAATAAATAAGAAGTAAATTAATAAATTAAATTATTAAAAGTATGTAGTAGATTTTGATACTTTTTGTTTTAGTATATGATTATTTTACTAAATAAAAAATAAATATTTTTGAAAGAAAAACAAAATTATTAAAAAAATATATTTTGAATTAAAACAAAAAAACTATATTATTTTTTTGGCGAAAAATGTTGATTTGTTTTTATAAAACAAACCACCCATGTATTATTCGATTCAAATTGGTTAGTTTCAATTTCAAATATTTGTAAATATTTTAATTATTTTTATTGTATTTATAGTCACATTCAATAATGCTCGAATTATTTGTAAATATTGTTAATATTCTCAATTAACTTAAATTTTCTATTTAAATAAGATTCACAAATTTTAAAATACTTATTATATTTTGATTCAAATATCAAATATTATACATATTTAAAATTTTTCAAATTGTGTGCACCTCCTAGCATATGCAACAATGAAATTCAATAAAGCTCCTTAAGGGACTGTATGGTGGTGTAGAGGTTGGACTTGACCTTAGATCATCTGATTTTTCCATCGGGCTTAATTTGCAGGGTATTCATTTAGTTTATTTTGTGCATTTTTACTAAAATAATATGGTATTATATAATTTACCCTTATTTGTTTAGTGTTTTGGATTAATTTTATTTTAATTTTTACGTGAGATATTAAAAGTTATGTCGATAATATAAAAAAATAATATTTTATATTGAATATTGACTTTTGTAATAGAATAAAACATATATATATATATTCAAAATTCGCGTCTCGGAGAATAAATAATTGAACAAACAAACCCTTTATTTTCAAAATAAAATAATTTTTGTCTCCGACTTACTTGAGAAAAACTAAGTTGGCGTAAAATAAAAAAATGACTTGCATGCCAAAAAGAAAGGCCATGGGCATGGCCACTCAGTGGATAAGGCATGTAGGGTATGAGTTAAAATATTATTAACTATTTTATATTTTAGAAATATTGAGACAATAATAATATTAATTTCAATTTCAAAAAATAAAATAACAAATCGGAGTATATTTGATTAACGAGGATTAAAATGACATTATATTTTCCATAAATTTTCCAAATATTTGATTCATTTAAATTTGTTTTACTTTTATATGATCTCAATAAATATATATTTTATTAAAATATATTTTTAAAATATTTAAATAAACATTTAAAAATTATTTTAATTATATATATATTATGTTATAAATTTAATAAATATTATCAAAGTCAAGTATGCTTTATATATTTCATTAGTTTTATTTTCAGTAAAATCAACCAATTATTTGGACCCAGCCGACGTTATTTTTCATTGGCCCAATAAAGGCCCATTTAAAAATTAAGTTTATTTCATAAATAATTTTAATTTTATTGAATAAAAAGTATATTATTATTTGTAACTTTTCTCCATTCCAAAGATATATTATTGAGATTAATACCCAATTAATGGATATTGATTTAAATTTACCCAGATGTGACTATGGGACATAAAGCCAAAATATTTAAAAATATCCCATAAAGTATTAAGAAAAAAAAAAAAAAAAGCTAGCTAAAGAGCAATTTGATTCCATTCAAGAAAAAAAGAATTGTAATAAATATGTTACTTTTGGAAATATAACACACAATTTAAATATAATCAACTTAATTTTACTTTGTAAATTTTATTATAAAAACTATTGATGTGTTAGCTTTGTATTATTATTCTCAATACCTACTATTTTCAATAAAAATATTTATTATTTTTTATAGAATATTTTAAAATATAAAATAAATATTTTTATATTTTTCAAACAATAAAACCTCAAATATTCTTTAGAAAAACAAAACTTATAATTATAATAGAAAAAAACATAGACAAAATGGTGTTGGCTTTGTTTATCAAATACTTATTTTTCAGCGATTTTTTTTTTAAAAAAATAAATAAATCAATCAAATATTCATTACAAAAAATTAAAATATTTAATTCAAAATAATATATTTAATATTATTGATACAATAACTCATACCACGTACAAAATAATCAATTCATTTAAATTTTTTTTAAAACGAAGCCGTTATGTTATAAATTTTGTACATATGTAAAAAATTTATTCATTATTTGACTTAGCATAAAAGGATATGATGTAGTCCGCTTTATATATATATATATATATTTTATCTACATAAAAGATTCTTTAGAATATAATGAATGAAAATATAAAAAAAAATATATATTCCTTTCGTTTCATTGAAAGGTTGTCATTTTCTATTTTCGTCTGTCTCAAAATAAGGTTGTCATTTCATAATTTAGTAATTGTACTACCTACCTAACATAATAAATATCCTTCAAACTTACACTATATTACATAAATGCTATTACTTTTATATTACACAATACTAATAGGAGTATTTTCGTCTTTTTCACTGAATCCATTATAATACTAATATTCAAAAATCTATTTGCAAAAAGTAAACAATAACCTTGCACCGGAACGGACGAAGTATTTTAAATTAGAAGGGAGGAATTATTTAATTATCAATTTTAATATTGAATATAATATCTATTTATGTTATATTATACTATATTGTTTTTATTTTTTATTATTTTAAAATACCAAATCGCAATTAAATTATCAAACATATGAAATAAACGGGCTTGACTCTTATTTTATTCTATGTATTTATCTAAATATTAATATAAATATTGCAAAAATAAATAAATAAATAATTACTATAAGTGGGCAAATTATTGTTGTGTGATACGTATTTTTTAGATTTTTTTTTGTTAAAAAAAATAAATAAATATGAGGAAAGGATATAATAATTCCGACACAAAATCCCACTCAAAATAAAATATGTATTTATCTAAAATTCTAAACCTCAAGTCTGTCTTTTCTTACACCCACCAAGTTGCATAATTAATGTTCGCTCCTTTTAATAATATCTAAATCCCATCAATTAAAGCATCTAATTATTTTTTTCTTTTTAAACGAAAAGTTAATTACCGATAAAAAGAAAAAAAAAAAAAAATGACTGTTGGTTTTAAAAGGAAAAGGTAGAGAGTCTTTGCCACGTTTCTTTGAGATTTTTTTAAGAATTTTATATTTTTAATAATTTTTTTAATACTCTTCGTCTCGTAACGAAGTATTTATTTTTTTATTTTAGTCTGTTCCATAATTAAATATTCATTTCTTTTTTTAGTAATTGTACTACTTATTTAACATTACATATACTCTTACAACTTACAATATGTTACACAAATGTCATTATATTTATATCACACGTACTAATAAGATTATTTTAGCCATTTTTACTTTTTTCATATTATATCTCAATATAATACTAATATTTCTAAAACTACTTGCAAAAAATAAATTGATATTTACTTATGAGACGGATGAAGTATAATTTATAATAAATAATAATAATAAATATTTTTTTCATCCGTCGTATTTAATCTATTTGAACTTGATACAAGAATTAAGAAAAAATAATACTCACTCCGTCCCTTAACAATCTATCAATTTTTCTATTTTTGTCCGTCTCATAATAAAGTATCAATTTTCTTTTCTAATAACGGTATTTTCTACTAACATTAAAATTACTCCTACAACTTACAATATATTACACAAATGTCATTACATTTATATCAAACAATACTAATAACATTATTTTAGTATTTTCTACTTTATTTATACTATACACCAATATAATACTAATATTTCTAAAAAACTCCGTATAGAAAACAAACAGATAGATAGACGAGGGAGGGAAGGACCATGTTATTAAAAAAATAAAAAAAATGAAAAATATTTAAAAGTAATTTTAAAAATTTAATTAGTAATTAAAAAAATAAAAAAATATATAATAAAGATAATGCATTTGTAATAAATAAGTACTAAGTAAATAATACTCCCCTCCATTGACATTTTGTCAATTTTTTTATTTTAGTTTGTATTATAACAAAATATGTATTCTTTTTTAGTAATTTATAATATATTACATAAATATCATTATATTTATATCATACAATACTAATAAAATTATTTTAGTATTTTCTACCTTATTCATATCATACCTCAATATAATACGAAAATTCCTAAAATTTTGTACAATAAACAAATGAATAAATTGATAACGGAGGGATGAAATAATAATTATATATTACCTCCGTTATACACATACTTTTGGGCTATTGTACGTGACATTAAAAATATTATTATATTTGTATAATTTATTACACAAATATTATTGTATTAGTATTATAAAAGATTAATATATGTATTTTGCCATTTTATTTTTATTTGCATTATGTTTTGATATAATAATTAATATTTAAAAATCAATAAAAAAATCACAGTGTATTTTATGGCTGGACTTAAAGAAAATTTTACAATTTTTTTTTATTATTTCAAATATAATAGTGACATAAATTTGACGATTTAATAAAATAAAGATGGAGTATAATAGTCTATTCGTCCCATAAATATAGTATTAATTAAGTTGAATACAAGATTTAAGGATGATTGATATTATATTGGTAGTAGATAAAAAATATAGATAAAAGATTTTTTTACTTTTGTGAGTGTATTAGTATAAAAAGTAATAATAATTGTGTAATAAAAATGAAAAAGTAAGTATAGTTCTATGGTAATATAATTATTTATGAAAATAAAATTATTATTTTAAAATCGATAAAAATGATAAACAAAACTATTGAATTGGAACACCGGAATAGGAAGGATATATATACAAAAACAAGCTCTGTCGTCGGGAGCATTAATAACGGGTAGTACAGTTCAGTACAGGTCCCTCTCTTCTCTCTTATTTATTTCAAGGTTCGAAACCTCATCGCCGACACTCTCCACCGAGGGACCGGCGGTTGATGGACAACGGTCACCGGAGACTAACCTTCAAGATTTGAAAATTAACAACAGTTAAATAAAAATTAATTTAATATTTTAAATGTAACATTGATTTTTTATTTTTTTTATATAATAAAAAATGAATTTTTAATTTAATATTTAAAAAATAAAAAAACGATGTGAAAACAGTAAAAATCCCACAAATTAGTTTCAGACTGTAGTTTTCACTCAATTGTCGGTGGAGCTGAGAATTTCAAAGTCACCCTTTATTTAGTGGGCATTAAAATCCATCATCATTCATCAACCATCTTCCGATTCCATTTCTAAGTCTCTCCACTCTCTTCTCTTCTTAGTTATTTATTTGTGTGTTCCTTCTCCATAATTCTCTTCACTTCCAACAAAATCCAACTGGCAATAATTGATCCCCAATTGTTTATTCAACCTGTTTCTTGTTTTTCTTGCCCTAACAGTGGTGGGTAGGTGATCAAAGGGTTCGATTATTTCCAATTTTTTTTTTTAATGAGAAATTGCCTCTCAAGTGTGTTCTTCCACTATGGTTTTAATAATCTTTTAACATTTATCATTATTGTCACACTTTATTGCTATGCCTAATATGATTGTGGTGTTTATTTATGTGATCGATCATGAGAGTGGGGTTCTTGGTTTTATTTTTACCTAAAAAAAGAAAAAAAAATTAGTTGGGTTTTGTCTAGTTATTTCTTGGCTTATTCCTTGATTCTTCATGTCAGAAATTGGGTTCTTTTTGTTCTTGAACTTGTTCAATCATCTTCTTAAAAAGAAATAGCATTTTATGATTTTGTCTGTTATGTTTTCTTGAAATTTTTATGGTGATTGGGTTTATGGTAAATAATAGGGAATTATGGACCAGAAAACTTGGCTATGGAGGAAAAGATCATCGGAGAAGACAATAGTTGCAAATGGAGATGATGAAGTAAGAGGAAATTAAATATCTTTCTTACTTCGTCGCATGATCCTAATAAGTTGTCCAAACTCTTTCTAAGTGCTAATTTTTTTATCCATTTTTTCTTACAATTTTTGATCAGGAAAAACCTGTCCCAAAAGAAGCAGATCTGGAAATTTCTTTGAAAGAATTAAGTGAGAAATTGGCTGCTGTTGTTGATGAGTGTTCAGAGAAAGATAAACTTGCAGAGAGGTGTCAAAAAATGGCAGATGATGCCATTGCAGGTATGTGTCACTAAAAAAAACATATTTGTAACAAAAATCAGTGACAGTCGGCGTTATCTACGTAAATTTTAGGACAAACTAATGTCATTACTAATGAAAAAAAATGAATTTAGGGACAACCGGCGTTAGGGTTAGCTGCGTGAACTCTAAGGACAAAACTAATTTCGTTAAGAACAGAAAAATTGGATTTAAAAATGGAATTAGAGACATATGGCCGTTAGTTACTTGAATTTTAGGGACAGTAATTCCGACCCTAATGTAATATAGTAACAAAAAAAGAATGGATTTAAGGGACAGACTGGCGATAGCTAGGTGAACTTCTGGGACGAAACTAATTCCGTCACTCATGTCGTCGTTAGTAACAGAAAAAAATTGAATTGATTTAAGACATTAACAAAATGGAATTATAGGGACAAACCGTGATATTAGGTGAACTTTAAGAAGGATAATGTCATTAGTAACAGAAAAGAAAAAATAGATTTGAAAGGCAGAAAAATTTTATTACAAGAATATGGATTAGTTTCATGACATCGTTACATCACATACTTTAGTCTTCCAACAGTAGTTGTTGTAAGAATTTCGTTAAATCTCATTTCAGACAAGATCAAGGCCGAGGAAGAAGCCCATCGCTTGAAGGAAGAGCTCGATGAAGTCATCGAACAGCGCGGCGCAGCAAACGAGAGGCTCGCGAACTTAAACTCGGCATTTAAGGACTGTATGGATCAGCTGAACAACGTTCGAAACGATCAAGATCGAAAACTGAAAGAAGCAATAACGCAGACGTCGAAAGAGTCGAAAACGGCGCATAAGAAGCTGGAAGAGCAGCTGTCTGAAGCGAACAAACGCCTCGCGACCGCAGCCGCCGAGACATCGTATCTCGGAAAAGCTCTAATAGTGAAGGAGAAACTAATCAACGATCTTACAAAAATCAAGAATCAGACAGAAGCCGAGTTCGAAGCCTTGATGTCCCGACTCGATTCCACCGAAAAAGAAAACACTTTTCTGCGATACGAATTCCGCGCGCTCGAGAAAGAGCTCGAGTATTGCCGAGGGTCTGTAGAGGCTTCGAACAAACAAAATTCGGACAATGTCAAGAAGATCAAGAAATTGGAAGGCGATTGTCAAAGATTACGCGCATTGACGCGTAAACGCATTCCCGGGCCGACGATAATGGCGAATGTAAAGAGCGATATTGAAGTATACGCGGGTAGTCGGATCGATACCCGGAGGAAGTCCTTACATGGAGGTTTTATTACAGATTACTCTCCGGAAAACGTATGTAAGAAGCTCGGGGTGTTGACGAGTCGGGTTCGGGATTTGGAGAAGGAGAATGAGATTTTTAAAGAACTTTTGATGGAGAAAGAGGAGCAGCTCTTACATTACCAGAAACTGCAGATTTCGACATCCTTGGTCGCAGAGGAGAAGACGGAACACGAATGTAAGATAATTGGAGCTTCGGACATGAGTCTAATGGACGATTTCGTGGAAATGGAGAGGTTAGCGATAGTTGCAGTCGATCTACCGGTTGGCGGAGGTTCGTTTTCTTCGATGTCTGATTTGGACAGCCATATGAATGTCACGACGAAGGAGCTTGTTCCAGTGGGGATCGGGGAAGAACCGTCTTCGGATAAACCGAACGATTGGGTAATGAATGTTGCGAACACGATCGTCGAGCAACATAGGATTTCGAAAAAGAGCATCAACGACCTTCTTGGCGACGTCAAATTGGCTGCGAACGGCATCGCTGCTGCCGAGCCATCGAAATTGGTCCCGATCAGCGGGTACCTCACTTGGAAATCACCACCGTCGACTCCGAGATCCAATTCGCTTCACGAATCGAGCAACGAGCTACTACAGCCGGATTTGAGCGTATCCCTCGGAAAAATTATCAATATTGTTAGAAAATTTTACGGAAATTTGCCTGATGATGACAACAATTCGAAGGCGGGCGAGTGTAAAATTCATGTCTTTCGATGGAGAAGCCGCGAGCTAAGCGACGTTCTGATGGAATTTATCGGTAGTTGTAAGAATCTGTCGGATGGAATGATAAGTTACGACGGGTTCGTTCGACACTTAGCGTCAACGCTTGGATGGATTACCGACAACTGTGTATCCTACGACGATCGCTCGACGGTTAGAGATGAATTCTCGAAGCACTTGAGCGGGGAAGGTCCAGGGACTGCGATGGAGCTCGAGTGCGTGCAGAATCTTATGCTCGAAATAGAGAAAATACATTCGGCGCTGAAAGTAGAAATCAAAGCGCTGAAGAACGAGGTGAATCGGATGAAATTGTCGAAGAACGATCCCGAATTTGCGATTCTGCAAACCGAGATAGAAGTGTTGAAAGAGTCAGGGAGAATGACGGAGGATCGGATCGAGGATTTGAAGGCGATCAACGAAGATCTCGATACTCAGCTCACCGTTACCAAATCAAAACTCGGCGACGCCCTACAAAAACTGTCGTGCGTCGAGGTCGAGCTCGATAATAAAATCCATTGCTGCGAGGAATTGGAGGGGATTTGCCTTGAGCTTCAACTGCAACTCGAAAGGTACATTCGTTTATACATATATATATATCGATGTTTGTCGTGTTGTTGAAATATTTATATTCGATTTTACGGTTAACAGCACGACGAAAAACCAAAACTCGAAGAATGGGAGCGAAGAAGAGCTGCTGCAAACGGTAAGTTCTTATTTACGCTAAATGAATTTGACGGCGGGACCTAGTCGACCATTATTTTTATTTGTGTAATGAAATTGTCTTTTTTTTTTTTAATCAAAATAAGGGGTATATATATAAGTAATACAAAACAAACCTCAAATCATTTTATACATTTGGCAGGGTATGGAGATCACGAAAGCGTCGGCGAAGCTAGCGGAGTGCGAAGAAACGATTTTGAAATTGGGGAAGCAGCTGAAATCACTCGGTTCGTCAAAGGAGCTATCGGTTTTCGACAAGGTTCTATCGATAACCGGGGCAACGAGCAAGAAATTTAAACAGCGGTCATCTTTGCGCGAAATGCTGTCCGAAGATTATGCGCAACGGCTAAAGCACTCGAAGGAAATGACAACTACGGCTGCTGCGAACGGACAATCTATTTCTAGGACAAGCAGCCGGAGCTTTTCTTTCTCGGATAATCAAGCGGATAAGTATCTTGGGACAAGGAAAGATTCTAGAGCGGCGAAATCGGGGGCTTTGGTCGTTGTCCCGAAGAAAAATACGGGAGGAAGAGGGATCGGGTTTCTGACAACTCTACTGTTGAGAAGGAAGAAGAGTAGCAGCAAGAGTAAGTCCCTTTGGTAAATCGATTGGCTTTCATTGCAATAAGGAATTTGTTGTTTTTGTGAATAGATTTGTTTGTATGTATTGATGGTTTTCGACAAGATTGTTGTTGTATCATTTCATGAAAGATTGTTTTTGTTAATGTCTAGCATATGATCGAACATGGTTATTGTTCAGACCACATGAATGTTGGTTCAAATAAGTATTTGTAAATTAAACAAACCAATGTAGTAGTAGTAGAAACCGGCAAGAATTATCACGACACGATAATCCGACACAAAATAATTGGATTTGAGTCAAGTATTTTGATCCGATTATGCATATGGATTGACACGATAACAGACTCTCAATTCGAATTCGACATCACAGCCAGATTATAATATATTAATATAAGTTAAGTTCAATCTTAAATAATTCAACATAATTTAATATATACATAACACTATAATCGAAAACAACTAACATGATATGGCAATTTGACAAAAAAAAAAAAAAAAAAAGGATTTGGATAAAGGATTTCGACCCGATTACTTATATGGGTCAACACAAATCCGACACGATAATAAACGGATCAACACGAACCCGACACAATAAATAAATGGACCGGATTAGAACCCATTCAACGTGACACGAATCGACCCATTGACAGCTCTAAGTTGTAATAGTAAGTGTTAAAGAGGCTTTTTTAGATACCTTGAAAACTAGTAGATGCTTCTTCTTTCATTTCCATTAAGGCATCTTCGAAGCACTTTGCAAGAAGTTTAGGGTCCGGAATGATCTCCTTAGCTACGAGGATTTGCATGTCTGCAAATCCCGCGTAACTCAGCATATGCATGGTAATAGCCTACACAACATATTAATAAATCAAGTACCGATCGAGTTGAATTAGAACAAGAATGAAGAAGAAAACAAATTCATTACATGAGGAAGACTGCTAGTCGTAACCCTCATGTACTTAACAGGATTGCCACACAGTGTGATCTTCTCCCTCGGCCCGATGACGTTCGACACTGTGAATGTCGTGTTGCAGACCACTTGGTAATTCAGAATGCTGGTTAGCTGCAAATGCACAATCCAATAACACCAGATCAATTAATTACCAATCCTCATTGTATGTATTTATGTGTCTTTCGTATGATTCTTTCTTCTTCTTCCTCATACCTTGGCCCCAAATAAATGTGTAATAACATCCATGAGCATGTAAGAAAATGGAGCTTCTAAGGACAGCTTTTTCCTGTCAATCATTGCTTTGGCTCTTCTTACAAATAACAGAGGATCTGAACCTGAACCTGAACCTGAGCCAGAATTATGTTTGTGGTAACAAACAGGTAAGAGAATGATTCCGAATTTGTTGCCCCATCGAGATCCAGAATTGGCGTTGGTGTTCATCAGCTTCGACAAATCCTAGAACAACTACCGAATTGAATAGGAATAGGCTGTGCGACGATTGGACACAAAAGTACTAATTTTAGGTCAGAAGAGACATGTGAAGAAATGAAACCTGCAGGCCTGCCTGTGGTCTCAAATTCACCATGGCGACACCTGTGATCTGGTCCCCTTCTTGCAAACCTAAACCAGTTAAAAAATAAGAGATTCGTCAAATTCGTGCAACAGATCTCCCGCGAAGTTGGGGAAATTTAAATTTTAACTTACTATTGTTGGATCTGAGATCGAAGTATCGTGAAATCCCCATTTCGATTACACCGAAGAGGACGTCATTAATTGTCTGCACATTTTTGGACAACATTCACAACATGTGTATCAGCAGTCGGCCTGGTAAGAAACCCTAATTACTCGTAAACATGGAAATGGCAAAGTGAAATGGCCACACTTCGAACACCACATTTTATATATATACATATATATATGTATGTATTTTACTTGGAACACCACATTTAACTGCAAGAAAGATCACAGAACAAAGATACGTAAAACTGACCACCAACTGTAATAAATAAAAATTGAAGCACCTAGCTGCAAAACAGAATCAGCGAATGTCAGCCGTAGATCTCATAGGACCACTAGGGAGAGGCTTCCCGGGACCTCAGATCCCTGGACCTTTATAAAACCTTTCCATTTATACTACGGTGTGTTTCTTTGATTTGATTTGAGAAAAATGTACTCTTGCAGTTTTACTTTTATTTTTATTTACAACATCTATCTAATTAGCAAGTAATTAAATTTTTTTATATAATTAAAGCATATAATTAAATTTTAAAAAAATAATAATTAAATAGGACAAAACAAAAATAAAAATATTAAGCGGGACGGAAGAAAAAGTATTTTATTTTTATTTAAACTATAAGTATATCATCATTTATACAATTATTTTAACAAATAAAACAAGGATAAAAATATCAAAATCTATCATATACTTCAAATGTTTTTTTTTTTAAAATATTAAATTAAATAATTATTTTTTAATATATTATACTAAAAAATTATTTTACATTAAAAATATTAAATCAATTATAATATTTATATCACGTTAAAAAATTATTCCACTTTACTCGAAATCCAAACCTAGAGACAAACACACCTTTGGTGGTAAAGAGACATATTGGAAAGATAATTTATTATACACTATAATAATTAATTAATTAATTAATTAAAATGAGTAATAACTAGCGGGATCAAAATTGATCCAACGGTCAGGAATACTAACCGCCTCGGCGACGGCACGCTTGACGGTTTTCATGTCCTCAATTCTGAATCTCGCCGTCGCTAACCGCCGAGGCCAGAGCTCTACGCCGGAGCCGCCACTCACGGCGGTTGTCTTGTCGCTCAACCACATCAGCCTCAGAATCAACTCCAGAGAGTAGAGTAAAGTAAACCAAACCAATTTCACCACCGTCCAAACGCTCCACCGCTTCGGCAAAATCGCCGCCGCGCCGACGCCGGCGATCGCCGGCGCCTGCTCCGGATCGTCGAGTCTCCGGCAACACGACAGGAACATCGACATCAAGGAGATGCCATCCCCAAGCGCGTGGTGCACACGGAAAACCACAGCTCTGTGCGCCACGAGGACGTGCAGTTCCCAAAGCGGTTTCTCCTTCGAGAGCGGCGACGAGACGGTTAGATTCGCCACGTAATCGTTCACCGCATCTTCGTCGGAGACGAACTCCTCCTCGCCGGAGATCGGTTCGTGAATGATAATCACGTGCCTGTCGACGTCGACCTCAGTCCTCCGCCAGAATTGCCGGCCGGCGGCGTCCGTAACCATCACGCTGCAAAACCGAGGATGCTTAAGCATAATCGATTTCTGAATCTCCGATTTGATCGATTCGAGGTTAATCGCTGATTCTCCGGCGATTGCGCAGTTTATCACCTGATCCATCAGCGGCTGCGCGAAAAGTCTGCCGGCCGGCGTCACTGGCTCGTCGTCGTCGGTCTCCGCCGCAGGTACGCTCTGTTTTGCCATACCTAATTTATTCCACGAAGGCATATTAGAAATTATATATGCACGGGTGTCCTCTAAAATACGCCGCTGCTGCGTAGGATAAGACAGATGAAAAAACAATTAAAGAAGAAGAATCCGAGGTGCAGAATAGAAACACATTTGAATTCTGTATACAAAATAAAAGGCCTCACTTATAACCTCACCAAGAATTTTGGAGTTCATTTAATTTTGGAGTCTGTTTGTTTAATCTTTTGTGGTTTGGCTATTGTCCCCTTATAAATAGATTTAGACACGCACACAAATTTTTAATCTTCGAGTAAAAATTATTTTTCATCTTATTTAATATTATAATTATCAATTTTTGTCTTATTCAAATAAAATTTTATCATGATTTATTGTGACTGATTCCCACGCAACCGAGTTCAAGCCAACAAAATTGTGTTAAATCCCAATCAACATCGTAATAAATTTTGAGAAAGAATAATAACAAAATATTAAAGCCACACATGCTTCGCCTACATTGTCGAACCTAATTTGCAGGGTATTAGATTCGTCCGAGAGTTTACCTAATGCGGACTTCAAGTAGCTGCGAATTCCCACGATATCAAAATAATAATAATAATAATAATAAATAATATTATACAATGTGCTAAAAATTTAATTGCTCAATGGGCATGCATCTATTAAAATTCTGATATCATTCCTTGAAATGTCTTAATAGTGATTCTAGTTGGATTGGGGTTTTATTTCAATTATTGCAGCAGAACTTTGTTCTTTATATTCTTGATTATTTAGGTAAAGTTGATTTATGTGAATCTTTATATTCTTAAAAAAAAAAAAAAACCTAAGATATATTCGATATTTCAATTAACCATGTCAATGTGTTTTTGATTAGGCACGAAAATTAATTATTTATCATAAATAAAATAGACATAAATATACAAAAAGTATATTGTCATGCTTGTTTTGGGTTTGAATTTTAAGTTAGGATTTAATAGTAAAAAATTTTAATTTGAATAGTCGGATGATGTGATATTTTAACTATAAAATTTATTTTTAATATAATATAAAAAATAAAAATAGATATTTGATTTGATATAGAAAGAAATTAAATCAATAATACTCTCTCCGTCCTAAAAAAATATCCAAAGTTATAATTAAAAAGTATATAAATTATAAAATTTAAAATATAATTAAAGTATATAATTATATTTTTTAAGAAATGATAAACTATATAAAACGAATAAAAATAGAATAAATAAATACTTTATATTGGATCGAGGGAGTAGAATTTTGGAAAAATTGTTCAAACAAAACATCCTTGAATTTACAGAGAGTTGCCGCGTAATTGCATATTATATTATCGTCAGGTCAAAATATTATCAAACGCATGCTTAAAGACTAGCGGCTGCGAATTTCAGTGTAATAACAAAAAAAATTGAGAGTCCTAAGCCAAAACAATGTTAATTTTCATATGCGCCGATTATATAATCGTCGTTGCTCGGCTCATCTCCGGTGGAGCGCTCAAATGCCGGACAAAGTGAAGCTGCAAGAAAAGAATACTTTCGAATCCAAATAAAAAAACAACAATATAAATCAAATCAAACCATTCTACAGAGTATCCGATTTGATCGATCACCTGATCCCCGTCTTTGATCGAATACTTTCGAATCCCGGCTTTCTCATCGAGAAGCTTTTCGCCTTTGTAACATAAACAGAAGTGACTCCACACAACTGCCCTGCATTTTTTAACCAATTCATTACCAAAAATAAAAATAAAAACGACAGTGCCGACTTAGAGCAATTTGATTATAATTCAATTTGTGACGATCATATTCATATTCTTCAGTCATCGATAACTCAATTCCAAAGAGTATTTGATATTTTTATTGAAAACCCGTTATCCTTTCGATCTAAAAAACAAAAAGAAAGAAAAGATATCTTTATAGAAACCAAGATCCTGTTACCACAAGTGTTCTTCACCCTCCTTCAATGAATTTTTAAACTCTTCCTGAATGGATAATCTAAGATCACCCACTGTAACATTTCTCCCCACATTAACACCTGCAAAAAACCATTGTAAGAAAAAAAATGAACAATCTATTCTCAAAAAGAAAAAAAAAAAAATCCTGAAAAATCGAATCTTGAATTTACTGAAAGAAGATCCATCCAATTTCAGGACAGTAAGCCTGAGAAGCTGCCTAGGAAGCCTTGTGTATTTCAGACATCTTCTCTTGATCGAAAACGCGATTGAATTCCTGGTCGATCGATTCGAGTAATTTTTCACCATTAAAGCCCCTTTCTTGAAGCTTATTTCTGCAGAAGTTTATACAGAGAAGAATGGAGAAGACAGAGTTTTAAAAATGGCAGTTTCTCTGTGTGTGTGTCTATTTATAGCATAGGCAGTAGCCAGCAAGTCTAGTTAAATTTGAAAAAAGTTACCGTTGTGAATTTTTGAACGCTTCTGCTTGTTTGGCAGCACCTGAAATGGCGGATTCCGAAATTACAAAAAATAGAAATGAACAATGAATTGTAGAAGATGAAGAAACCGTTAAGAAACTGTAAAAAATTTCTTAGCCAAACAGATCATTAACAAACCAACACCAATAGTTCTACTCAAAACCACAAGCAAATAGTTTTTTCAAGAAAAATCACATCAAATTCCGATCTTTTTTTCGACGTCGAAAGTTCTCCGATCGATTTTGGCGAAAAAACGAGCAAACCGAGCAGAAAATAGTATCGATATTTCGACAAACTTTACGCAGACGTAGTAGTAGTAGCCATCGTCGTCTCGTAGAGCTCTTTAACATCTTCGATTTCTTGTTTCGCCTCCTTCTCCTTATCTTCCGACACGAATTCGGAGCTATCGTCGACGATCGAATCTGCCGCGACGTTTTTAAACATTTCGTCGTCTTCGATAGCTTCGAACTTCTCTTTATCCCCTTTCAGCAGCTCGACAACTTCGAGCATCGTCGGTCGTTTCTCGGGACGGTTATGCGCGCAGATAAGCCCGACGAAGACAACCCGTTTCAGCTCGTCCTCGACGTAATTCCCGTTCAGCCTCCGATCCGCAATTTCGTCGAACTTCCTCTCGCATGCAAGCGGAAGAGCCCAATCGGTGATCGCGCGTTTCATCGTCGAGCTCATCTTCTCGAGCGGTTTCTTACCGCTGGCGAGCTCGAGTAAAAGTATCCCGAAGCTGTAGACGTCGCAGCTCTCGGAGGCTTTTCCGAGCATGGCGTATTCGGGAGCGAGATACCCGAGCGTGCCCTTGACCCGGGTCGTCACATGCGTCGCGCCGTCAGGGATGAATTTAGCGAACCCGAAATCGGCGACCTGGGCCTTGAAATCGCCGTCGAGCAATACGTTGCTCGCCTTAATGTCACGGTGGATTATATGCGGCGTCGCGTAATGGTGGAGGTAACTACAAAAGGCGAAATCGTAAAAAAACAATCGAAAATGATCGGAATGAATACAGAGAATCGAAACTTACACGATGCCCTCGGCTGCGCCGATGGCGATGTTCATTCTCCGGGGCCAGTCGAGGTGGCACTCGGCGGAATGCTGGCCGTGGAGATGAGATAGGAGACTGAGATTGGTCATGTAGTCGTAGACGATAAGACGTTCTTGCCCCTCGGCGCAGTATCCCCGGAGGGTGAGCAGGTTCTTGTGGCGGACGCGGGCGAGGATCTCGACCTCGACGGAGAACTCCACCTCGGCTTTGTTGCTCCATGACTTGAGCCTTTTCACGGCTATCTGTACAATGCACAATTTCGACGACTAGAGTTTAGGCGAACATCAAATCCAACAACTATTTTTAACTCGTAAATTCAAATTCGAAACATCGAACGACTACTTTTTACGACTAAATTTTACGCCAACATTGCATCCGGCTGCTATTTTTACCTCTGAAATTCAAATTCGGATCATCGAACGACTATTTTCGACACCTAAATTTTACATCCGACCGCTATTTTTAACTGAAAAATTCAAACCCAAAACATCGGAAAACTATTTTCGACCGCTAAATTTTACATCCAATCGCTATTTTTAACTCGAAAATTCAAATCCAAAACATCAAACAACTAATTTCAACTACTAAATTTCACATTTGACCGCTATTTTTAGCCCAAAAATTCAAATCCAAAACATCGAATAACTATTTTCAACTACTAAATTTTACATCCAATCGCTATTTTTAACTCAAAAATTCAAATTCAAACTCAAAACATCGGAAAACTATTTTCGACTACTAAATTTTACATCCGACCACTATTTTTAACTCGAAAATTCAAATCCAAAACATCGAACAACTAATTTTGAGTACTAAATTTTAAATCCAACTGTTATTTTCAACTAAAAAATTCAAATCCAAAACATTGGAAAACTATTTTCAGACACCTAAATTTTACATCCAACCACTATTTTTAACTCGAAAATTCAAATTCAAAACATCAAACAACTATTTTCGACACCTAAATTTTATATCCGACCCCTATTTTAAACCCAAAAATTCAAATCCAAAACATCGAACTAACTATTTTCGACTCAAAATAAAGATCAAAATGCAAGTAGGGAACACACTGTACATAGCATTCATACAACATATACTGCTCCAATTCTCTCATCTGCAATTCAATGAAGATCTTAAATAAGACATAATTTCTAGAACAAAAGCTTTTCTGAACTCCATTATTACAGCAGCAATTAAGAACTATTCATATCCAGCAGATGTAACAACCTTCAATCCAATTACTACAGCAATTATGGTAGAGACGAAGAGGTGGTTGTTCTTACCTGAGAACCATCCCAGAGCTGTCCCCAATACACACTACCAAATCCACCTTCTCCAAGCTTATTATCGTAGTTAAAATTGTTGGTAGCTAATTGCAATTCTTTCAGTGAAAAAATCCTCCACGTCGCTTCCTTCTTACCTTGCTTTTTCCTGCCATTATTGAGCACCTCAAATTTCTCTTACAACATTCGCAAAAAAAATGAAAAATAATAGAAATACTAACAGGATACCGATACAGCAACAGCAGCAGCAGCAGCGGTCAAAGTTGAAAACATCAAACAAATCGAAGCAAAAGGAGGAAAGAAAAGAGACAAAAAAAAAAAAAAAGGCACGCACCGATCTGAGCTCTTGACGCAGCAGAACATCGAGGAGAAGTCCATCATGTCCGGGTCGGGTCAGGAACAGGGTCAGGGTCAACCCGAGTGCAAAAACGAACAAACCAGAGGCCTTTTCTGCAGATTTTACCAAATTTCAACCGTCGAAATCCATTTCAGACAGACGAAAAAACACTTCTGAGACAAAGTGAAACAGAGTTTGACGATTCCGAGGACGAGGACGAGACCGACCGGCAACAAAAACGGCTACGAAAAGGACCCCTGCAAGAAGAAGAAGAAGACGATGAAGAAGAAGGGGGCTGTGGTGTGGTGTGGTACTGGTGCATCGACTAAAGTCGTTCGATCGATTGTTCGATCGGACACACTTTTGTTCGAATGAATGGCGTGGGGGTCGGCGGGGCCCAGTCTGACAGGCTCGTCTGCGGACAACTTTCAAAATTTCAAACATTAATTGAGACGTGGCACCTACTACTACTACTCTTTTCTAATTATATTTGTAATTACCAAAATATGTGTTTGTAAATTCGAAGGCTGCGCCTTTTGTTTAGGAATCTTTGTCATTTTTATTACTCTCTCACTGTGTTGAAATTATGTAGTTATTATTATTATTATTATTATTATTATTATTATTATTATTATTATGTGATCTATTCACTCATAAAATATATATATATTTATTTTGAATTATCAAATAATTATTTTTTTACTAATAATGAATTTTACTTTTTCTTACAAATATCTAAAAAAATAGTATTTTAAATTATTAAATTACAAAGTAATTATTTTTTTTACTAATAATGAATTTTATCTTTTCTTACAAATATCCAAAAAAAAAATAATAAATAAACTAAATTTTTACGCTATTTTTAGTTACTTGCTATCATTTAAACAAGATGGATTCAATGTTGAATTTACATCATGGCTGAATTAAATCACAACCATCCATTAAAAATTTGTAATACAAGATGAGTGATTAAGATATAATTCAGCCTGAACTTAATTGTGAGCCAGCACATAATCCACAGGTTAATTAAAATACTATTCCCTGACGAGTTTATTTTTTGTTATCCTAATTGATATTTACACACTTTTTCAGGTAATTAGTTTTTTTTTTATATATAAATTAACAATTTTGTCTTTTTCGTGTATAGAAAATTAAAAAGTAAATAAAATAAAGACAAAAGAATAATTTTTGTGTATAAAAATATAAAGAGAACAATAATTGAACGTTCCAAATAGAAAAATTGAATATTAATTTATGGGCAGTGAAGTATTATTTTTGAAATTTTGGACCAAAAATAAATATATATATATATGTACTTTTAAAATTTGCGAAATTAGTGTCATTTTGTTATCAAATAGATTTATAATAAATAAATATTTTATTTATAATTTTATTATTTATATTTTAACAAATAATAACAAAATTATAATTGTATTTTTTACTTCTTTATTATAAAAATTAATATATTTATATTGGGAATTGTTAGTGTGTTTAGTTTTGATTTGAAATTTGTTTTTAAATTTTATTTTAAATAATTTTTATAATATTTTGTAAAGAAAAATAATATAAAAAAAATTATACGTAATAAAATAATATTTATTTGTATTTAAAAGATAAAACAAACAACTCATCTAATGTGTCTCTTGAAAATTATAAAAAATTAAAAGCAAAATATATAAATATGGGTGAACAATTTTTCTATTTAATACTAATTAATTTTAAATTAAAATTTTGAATTTCTTCTTAATATGATACCTGAGTCTTAAATCTCTAAACTATAAGTAATTGTTATTTTATACTCCCTCCGTCCCAGATACCGTGTCTGCTACACTGTAGACACGGTATTTTAGAAGGGGTGTAATTAGTAGATAATTAAAAATGTATTAGTGAAAATAATTATCCTTATAATATAAATAATTATAAATTAAAATTAAGACAACTAATTACTTTAATTAAAATTATAAAAAAAAATTAAAAATTAAAAATAAAATTAAAGTGTGTAATCATTTTCCAAAAAAAAGGAAAGTGACATGGTATGTGGGACGGACAGAACGTGGACATGGTATATGGGACGGATGGAGTATTATATTATTTTTTCTACGAAAATTATGAAAAACAAACAAACAAATAAAAGAATAATTGCAAAAAAAAGGAAAGGTAGTGAATATTTGTTTTTATTGTGGAAATGATGTTAAAAGGCAAGAATCATCATTGAGCTTAACAATAAGGATAAGGACTACACTAACTGCCTTTTTGTTATTAAATTTTCTTACCTATATAATAATGGAGTAATAATTTATTATCATATATATTAATTTAATAAATTTATTATTACTATTTTTTTATTTTTTATTTTTAATTTTTTTAATTTTATCTAACGTATATTAAAAGTAATAGTCATGTTTTCACTAATTTGTAATATATGTTTGTCATTTGTGCCGGTAGCCGACAGAGGCCTTCTTCCGCCTAATTTAGATATATATATTTTAGAAAATTTATTTAACTGTGATTTCCGTGGGAATATAAAAAATAAAAAATAATCGACAAATATAATTATGTGGTTCATAAAAATAATTTATCAGAATTTTGATTTAATTTTATTAGTTCAAATCCAAAAACTCTTTAACAAAAACAATTCAAATACTCCCACCGTCCCGTTGAAATGGTAGTATTCGCTTTTTGCAAATAGATTAAATAATATTAGTATTATATTGGATTTGTAGTAAAAAAACAAAAATTATCCCTATTAGTATAGTGTAATATAAAAGTAATAACATTTGTGTAATATATTGTAAGTTGAAAGAGTATTTATTATGTTAAGTAGGTAATACAATTACTAAATTAGGAAATGATAATCTTGTTTTGGAACGAACAAAAATAAAAAATGATAAATTTTCAATGGGAGAGAAGGAGTATATATTTTTTTTATAAAAATAATATACTAGGCATTGAACTATTTTCCATATAACTCAACAAACATATATTGGTTCCAGTACAATATCAGATTAAATAATTAAAAGATACCTTCCACCTGAGTAGGAACAATTTTTTTATTATTATTATAATTATTAAAAAAAAAAAAAAACCAATTTAACAACAATAATGGATGGAGTACCTTTTTTGTGGAGGAAGCTAGCAAGCAGCACTTTTACTCAAGATTTCAAAATCTGGAAAAGTGTGTGAGACAAACAGCACAACACATGTTGTGGAACCATATTATTCTATCTTTCCCACAATACCGGCTGTTTTTTACACGTAGTTTTAGAAATATTAATATTATATTAGAATATAATAAGAATAAAATAAAAATAACTAAAATAATTTTATTAGTATTGTGTGATATAAATGTAATGACATTTGTGTAATATATTGTAAGTTGTAAGGGTATTTGTAATGTTAGGTAGATAGTACAGTTACTAAAAAAAAATATATACTTTCTTATGGAACTTACTAAAATGAAAAAATTGGATAGTTTGTTATGGGACATAAGAGTATATTGTTGGCAAGAATGAATCTAACAATATAACAAAATATATTCTCCACATATATATTTATAAGAACATACAAAAAGTAGTCGTCATATTAGGGTTTGAGCGCAGAAACAATGAATAAATGGGTTCAATTGTGGTCCAGTGGTTAACCAAATCCATTTGGTTGAAATGGTTGTTGGGGTCCAACCGATCGGACAGATGGCCTTGCAGACAATATATTCGTTTGAGTGAAGGCTTTGGAACGGTTAATTACAAAAGTGACCGACGTGGAAGCGATTTTTTGGACAATTCAAAGGTAACAGACGTTGAAGCAGTTTTTGGATGATTCAAAAGTAACAGACGATGAAGCAGTTTTTGGACGGCTCAAAAATAACCGACGTGAAAACGTTTTTTTTGGACGGCTCAAAAATAACCGACGTGAAAACGTTTTTTTTGGACGGTTCAGATCAGTAACCGACATGAAAGTGATTCTGAAAAATTTAATTTGACACGTATATTAGTAGCCTCTGCGGTAGAGAACGGACGTCTTCAATTAAACAAAATTTCAAGAATCTCATGGGGATCATCACTGTTATTTTATTTCTCTTCAACTCTTGCTTTTACTATTCAAATTTGAAATATATTTTTAAAATTTTACTTTTTATTTGCTAAAAATATCATCAACACTAATATTTATTTAATTTCAATGCCAAGATTTCTCCCTTTCTAGATTCATTACATGTTCCATGTTCCAGCCAGCCAAATAGATTAATAGCCACAGCCCACATGAATGGCCGGCTCATCGGCATTCAACTGATACAAAAAGTCACAGAACAGCTCAAGTTTAGATCAATACACGAATTCTCAGACAGAAATAAATGTTTCATCCCTTACAAAAACATGTTGATTGTGAATGTCAAAATATGGTACGGCTGTCTCGACACTGAAGAACAATAACCAAAGAGACTTATTAAAACTAAATGTAATGACAGAACGATGAATAAAACACTTAGAATGTTCGAAAACTTTGTTGGGATAAAGTAAACATAGCGTAGCTTTGCACATTGACGGATGTAGGTTTCTATTTTTTTAGTTTAAAATAAATAAAATTTGTATAAATATATTATTTTGCCTTTCTTAAAATTTAAATTTATTATATATTTTGTTATTATTTTTAAATTTAATTTATATTAATATAATTATTTTTTATTTATATAACAATGTAATTTTTTATGCTAAATATAATTACAAGTATCTCTTTGCATTATCTTCTGGCATCAAAAGAAATCGAAGAAAATAAGATTGAAGTCGTATATAACAAAACCTGACCGACATACTTTTATAAATTTTTAAAATTTTTATTAAAAAAAATAAAACTATCTATTTAAATAATAATAACAAAAATCAACGATTCACGATTTGAAGTATGTTAAAATCAAAATCAAACCATAAAAACTCAATACTTATCGGACAGCTCTGTCCCTTAATTTCGGAAGCTAGTTCCGTCCCTGGCTATGCATAACATTTTGAAAAACAAGGACTAAAGTTGTAGCCAATCTTAATGTTGAATGAACTCAAAAAGACAACATTCGCAAAACTCACTTATAAGGTTGTCTCATTTCCTTATTCTAAATTAGCTTTGGCACCCAAATATCTTGAGAAATCATTTTTAGAAAATTTTCAATCACATTTTCTTCCTAGGAATATAAGAATAAAGATGAATTAAAAAAACAATGTATATGTTGAGGTGCAAACTCAAGTCCCACATTGGAAGTTGTGAAGAAAATTACACCCTTTGTAAATCTCAAGTGAACTCCACTAGTACGAGTCTTTTTGGAGAATATCCAAAAATAAATTCGTGCGGGCTC